TAAAAAATACGATTTTTTTTATTCATCATTACAATAGTGAACAATTAATGTTTAAAAGTAGATCTTATTATCAATTTCCCGGTATGGAAATAACCTACCTATCTACTGAAATATCTAGGTACTTAAAAACAAATATGTTCAGATTCTGTATAGAGCTGGAAATAATCCATTATAGATTTCAATAATAATTTTTCATGATTGTGACCAACGAGTTACAAAGTTAAAATTGAGTTTTAAGCTGTCGAGTTAATTTTAATTAAGTTAATTATAATAAGGAGTTATTATTATTTTTATCTTGTAACTTAAACTTCCATAGCCTTTAAATTTTATAAACTATTAATATTTATTATTTATTCTTTTGTTAGATAATAATATTTTTATCGTCATGATTTATAATTATGGTGTTATTCAAACATTCTTATTTAAATTATTATTGTATAATGAAAATGCTTTTTTCAAGTTGTTTTTATATTGTTGAGGGTCTATTTTTTTTTTTCATTAAAATATAATATCTTAAAAAAGAAGAACAAAATTATAAGGCTATCAGTATAAAATTGGGAGGATTACTTCGAGAACGGCAGTTAAATAATTTGTTAAAAGGTTTTAATTTGCAATATCGGATTTTATTATCTTTTTTTTTTTAACATAGAATTCATGTCAAATAACAATCATATAAATTCTCAATAATTTTCTTAAAAGTGTAGAAAATACTATAAATAAATGTCAAAAAAAAAATATAAAAGTTTAGCGGCACGCCCATTTAGAATAAAATCGACTTTTGTTATAATTTAATTATAACCCGAAAATCTCATATACAAAGTATATTATAGCTTTTAACTGAGCAAAACGAACTGTCGCTTTTCATGAACCCAAGAGATTTATTGTTATTTTAAATATTTTACGAAAAAAAAAAAAAACAAAATTAAAAAATAATACACTGGATCGAAATTTCCAACACTCAAAATATGTTTTATGTTTAAAACGGAGGCTTTATCCAAGATACAGTGGCGTAGCCAGGAGTTTTAATCGGGAGGTCAATATTTAAAAACTGTTCATACTTTTTTTTTAAAAAAAGAGCTGATACATGTGACGGGTATGTAATTTATTGTTGTAGAGAGGGGGGAAGTTGGGAAGGTAGAACACATAAAGTTATTTAATTTATAACTGTAAGCAACGATAAACCATTACTAACAAAAAATAATTCGGAACGAAGTTTGTTTATAAACGTTTTAAAGGGCCATAATAATTACGATTTTTTTTAAGTTTAATATTAAAATTCATATTTAAAAAAAAATTTCTTTTTTCAGTAATTTCGACTTATAATGAACCTCTTTTAAATTTTGAAGCATTGCTGTTTAGTTTAATAATTTTATCCACAGAGTACCTAAAAAATAAAATTTATTTAAAACCTTGCAAAATTTAAATGTCTATTAAGAGCTTAAAAATGGCTCAAATGTTTTTAAAATGTTACCGCGTCTAGAAAAAACGAATATAAGTTTTCTGTCAACATTTCAAGTGTCTATGAATAGTTTTAATCGAATTCAAACAAAATAACAAGATTGAAAATAATAAAATCTTTATTTTTGTAAATTTTCTCGTTCTTTCTAAGTTTTCTATGATTTTGCTTAGTTATTAACAAAACTATTTGGAAAATCAAAACCAATTAGGTTTAAAATGCAACAAAAAAAAGTCTCACACCTGCTGTACTCTTCTTATGACTGCATCCGAATTGGGTCCGGGATCCAAGTGGTTTTGATTTAACAACGATAGAATTTATTCCGAGTACAACTAATAAATATCATAATAATATTAATATACTTAATCTGAATAACCCTGAGCGCCTAGAGTGGTTATGGCAATACCAGGTGAACGGAGTACGGGTGGTATGTGGTGATTGGTATTAAGAGTTAAATTATAATAACAATATTGGAGTTTTACACGCGACGATATTATTCAGACCGGTTGTTGTTGGGACTCAACTTCCGACTCGGCTAACGGTTCCGACTCGACTAATGATTCAGACTTGACTAATTTATTATATGCACCCAGGTGTTCTCGTATTCCGCGCTCCAGTATTATATCTAGGTAAAGTAAACGAGAAACAATGTAGGAGAGGTGCTGTGACAACTGACGAGTCACTGAAACTGTACTGTCACAGTTGTAATGTTTTTAGCTACCTAGTATTTTTAGCTACTTTTAAGCATCGAGCTAGATTTATACAACCTTAATAGTGGAGTGGTTTATTTTTCACCAAATTAAAAAAAAAAAAAGAAAAAAACATAAATTTATGTAGCTACATTCTCTTTGATTTATTATTTTTAATAACACAAAAAATGTATAAAAATATTATATAATATATATATAATCGCATACACAAAAACCCAGTCTTTATTTATGTTTACTAGGTGTAGTTTTAACTCTATCCATTTTAATTTATATCATAAGAATTTAAATCTACATTAACATCTGACATTTCTTTCTCTAACCAGAATTCGATAAATACAAAGAATCCAGGTTTTCGATATGTAATGAATTTTGTTTCTGTGTCGTATTTATATAATTATAATTATAACTAATTTTGATTTTTCCGGTATTTTTTCTAAACGACGTCACTGTGTAACTTTAACATGGCTTATTTATTTCTTACGTGATAACTTCTTCGATTTGTTGTATATCGTTTAAATAAAATTTAAAAGGTAAATTATTCCTATATCGTAATATATTCAAGACAAATTTAACATTGTCCACTTTTGCAAACGAATGCCAATTAAATTTAATAACTCCATAAGTATTAAATGGTATAGTTTCTTCTGCCAGAACTATTAAATCCATATCGTTAAACGAAATAAAAACGAATCCTTCTTTTTTAAGTTTTTCTTTAGTCTTGTAAATATTTACAAACAATTTTTATAAAAGAGCCTTTTAAAAAGTTTAATTCACTCAATTCGTATGCAGTATGCAAATGATAAGATAATTTTACTTTTATTCTGTGTCTGGCCGAAACAAATTAAAAAAATGTCCTTGTAAATAGTTATTAAAAGATCCGCATATTTATTTCTTTAAAAGTATACTCTTTGATCTTACGCAATTCACAAGATCGGTTCATGATTGGAACTAGAATTATATTATCGCAAAACGGTTTTGTTACAGGAGAAAAAGTATTTGTTTATAGCAATTCCTCTCATTCTGTGTAGTTAGTATTAAAGAAGTTAAATCTGAGTTAACTGGCATGACTAAAAATTATATATTAAAACAAAATTAGTAATATATTTTTATTTCACCATGGTTAATTTCGAAAAACTTCTCTCTACAGAAGCACTGTTGGCAAGCATGAGGAAATCCAAACCCTTCAACTAAAATTTCAAAAATGGTGCGTACATTTTTGAACATAATTTCTCACTATTTTATATTGTATTATCGTGTTGCTAGATGAGAAAACATTTTAAGTGGATTGGATGAGGCAAGTGGTCCCATCGCGCCCCTTCGTACCTACGTCACTATTATGCATATTAGTAAAGGTATTTAAATGTGCTATATGTTCGATTTTCATATAACATAATACACATACAGAGTGTAACAGGACTATTTGACATTTTTAAATTTTAGTTATATGTAAAAGTGTCAAATAGTCCAGTTACACTCTGTATATCACACGGAAACGGGTACGAGAAAATTTCCTTATAACGGAATCGTTCGATACCAACTGATTTGTCCATTATAAAGGAGTTTTCACTATAGGGAGACTAAAATATATGGGATATAGGTTTTGCAGAATTGTTTTTGTTTTTCGTTTTAAGGGGATTTCCGCCTTATAGGGGACCCATTATAAGGAGGTTTTACTGTACTACAAAATTTGGTCCTATAACTTATTTTATTTATCCGATAATATAGTTCAGTATAATGGCGTTTCGCGTTGCATGACAGTAGGTAAAATAACCCTCTATTTACTTTGTAAGACCTTCACAGAACTTTGTACTGAATATACTGAAAAAAGTTCAAGACATATTAAATTTTATCTTTCGGAAGAGCTATAATGTGAATGCACGAATGGTTATCTTTATATACAACGTTATATTACAATACTTACATTTTTACTGTTATTATTTTTAAGAATAACTTTTCCTTAGATATATATAACACGGTTGAAAGGTGATGATGTATTATTAAGAGCTTTTTCGAGTAAGCCGCAGCCGCCCGTGTCTTAAGTATACGCTACGTATGGGTTTTCATACATACATAAATCTGCCATGAAAACCTATCGAGAAATGCATTATATAATACCGTGGTTCAAACAGATTGGAAAATTTCCATTTTTCGTACATATATATATATATCTTCGAATGTTGAATTATTTCCTTACACGGACTATTTTTTGCACAGACATAACCGCGGGGCATGGACATTTCGATTAAGTACATCGTAGTTAGACTATTTTGAGTTTCACGAATGTTGACTAGTCCATATTACAGTCATTTGTATTATTTTTTTGTTTTCCGGTAGAAGGGCAGGGGTTAGGGAGTGTTGAGATAGTTTATTTGTTCTTTTTGTAGCTAGTATATATATATATATATATATATATATAAGAATAATAAGAGTATTCTCAGTTCTTACCGTATTATGTTCAGTGTTTTTGCTGGTAGACATCCCATTTTTTTTTCATCACAGCTATTTGATATTTAGTGCTGGGTTTTATGCATTAGGAATAGTCGGTAGTTATAGATATATTCGTAAATTATTATTCAAAACGACATTTTATTTTTATTTATTTGAACTTACAGTAATGCTTTATTATTCAAGTACTGATAAAATCTCGTTCAGAAATATTTTTACTATAGGTAGTAGTACTATAAAATTTTGTTCAAACATTTCTTTAGTATACATATATATATATAGTATATATATATAGTATAGGCAATAACGTCGCATAAAAAAAGAAATGTTCATTTTTCGTAAAATATAAAATCAAATAATTTACTGTAAAATAATGTTTTTATTATTTTTTTTTTTTTGTCATTTTACTGGGTGCCTTCGTATTATGTATTATTAACTAAATAATACTATTATATTATGGGCTATCGAAAATATGGTTTATGAAAATTGTTAACAATTTAATACATACAATATTAAAATAAAACTAAAAATTAAAATATTAGTATAAAATGTATAATGTGTGTTTTTTTTTTTTTTTTTTTTGACATATGACTAGATTAATATAATATTAATACATTGATAGGTTTTCAAGACTAGACACGGTTTTTTTTTTTTTTTTAAATAGTTATTTCAGTATACAATTTATTCTTATATAGATGTTTACAAACTACAAAAAAAAAAAAAAAAAAACAAAAAAAATGACTAGGTATAAATTAAAATAGGTAACACATAAATTTGTATAATGATAATAATACAATAATAATGATAATAATAATAATAATAAAAATAATAATAATAAAAATAATAATAATAATAATAATGCTAATTTACTAAAAAAAATATGTTGAAAGTAACAGTTAATAAATTAAATTGCCATGTTGAAAAAAAAAAATGTGTTCGAATCTAAATAAATATACTTATATACTCGCACAGGAAATTGCCCAAAAAAATACAATCGTATTATTACATATTATTATTATATAGGTAAAGGCTATAAAATATAAATATTTACAATATTTTACAACTATAATCACGTTTGATTGCAAGAATAATGATTTCTTTAGTGTGTTAACGTGCAAGTGTATAATATTTTTACCTATTGTTTATATATTTTTTTTTTTTTTTTGTAAATCAGTTGTGTATACGAGAATAATCATTTATGATCGAAAAATGTAAATATATAAATAATAATATTATTATTATAATATTTTCTTCTTTTTTTTTCGTGTTTATTTAAAAAATGATTTACATGCTAGTTCATAGGCAACCACTCATACGCACTAAACTAATATACAGGTAATATTATAATAATACGTACAATACGTTCTTAATTTACACATGGAAAACAAAATCAATAAAAACGGGCAACAAAATTTTAGGGACGCGCAGTAGTTAAATTTTTTTTAAAATTTTATTTCGAATCGATTTTATAATAATACTATTTTTGTATACACCTATACGGAATAATAAGCAATTTCTTATGTACGAAATAAAATAAACGAAATATAAGAAAAGAAAGTCAATTGGTAAGAAATAAATAATTATTTCAAACGTCTGCCGGAATGTTGTCGAAAAACATTCAATACAATAAATTGGCAAAAGCCGTGAAATAAAATAAAAAACAAAAACAAAAAAAAAAAAAACAAAAAAAAATGGAAAAGAAATGAAACAAAATATACGTAACACAGCGTTGACTACAACAAAAATTGTCTGAGGTTCGGGTAGTCGATTTTTTCATAAGAGATTTAATAATCTCTGAGCAGCCAACTACCCGGGATTTATGCTATTTAAGTAATAGTCATATTTCACATTTGGTTTACAATAGTTTTGTTGTAGTATAATATTGCTCAAAACGCCATAACATACAATCAAATGTTAAAATATTTTTCTTTTAAGTAAAACGCAATTTCCGGACGAAAACAATTAATAATAATAAAGTAAAAAAAAAATTCTACGAAAAAATACAAAATAAATAATAAAAAAATCACAAGCTTTTATCAAATTTGACATAAAGTCGATTGCACTACAACTTATACTCTGACTAGATAAAATAATTATTATTATTACAAATAAATTATACAATATGGAATGTTCAGGGAATCGCTAAAATAATATAACCAAAATAATAATATAATTTCCATCAGAAATTCAGACACGATTTCTTTTAGGAATTTCTATTTTCGGTAATATATTATATAATATCAGTTTTATGAAAAAATATCAATATTCAGTTAAAAATAAGCTCGTAATAAATCATTTCGCATCAATATAGAATAATATGAACCGTGCATATTTATAAAGTCCATATAATATAAAATAATAATATATATATATATATATATATATATATTTATATATATATATTTATTATATATATATATATATATTTATTTATTTATTTTTATTTTTTTCGTTTTTTTTTTTAAATTTTTTTTTAAAATTTTTTTTTATGTATACAATTATAATATTTACAGGTATTACAAAATATTGTGACGGAATAAAACACTGGTAATCTTTGTGATAATACCAAGTCGTGATAAAAATATATATATACTATATTATTTGAAACGAATATATTGTTATACGAGTAATAACATAATACTAAGATGTATTATAACAATGTAATATATATTTTTTTCAATTTACCGATAAATTGAGCCGTTGTTGACTAGACTGGATTGATTGATTAGACTGGGCATAACTAGGTATAGGCACGTTATAATAATATTATATTATATCACTATAGTGATAAGAGATCATCATCGTAGGTAAATCATTATAATAATTTGTATGTTCTGTAAATACGGGTGAAATTGGTTTTAAATATTTGGATAAATTGATAATCTAAACTCTAGTATTGATCTAATGGGTAGGTAGGTAAGTAAATAAGCGCAGTGCTCGAATTGTGGGGGATAAAATGATGACAAACACTGATTTTCGTTTAGAAACCAGCGATTCATATATGTAACAGAAACATAATAATAGAAAACAGATGTATAAAATATCTTTCTATTATCGAAATTATTAACATCTCATTAAAATCTACCCTGTTTAATAAAAAAATATACCACAAAGTACTGATTTAATAAAAAAAATATAATATATACTATAATATAATATAATAAAATTTTGATTTTAAAGTGGTCTTGATCTAAAAAAAGCGTCGAAAATTGAAAATATAACGACAAATTCCTTATTTATGTATACTGATCTATACGAACATAAGTTAATACGGAATGTTTTTCGATTTGTTTTTATTGGCCCCCCACCCCCAGATCCAGATTAAAAATCGAATATAACTATGAACTGTAGATAACAATAATACACAGTTGTGCTATACAAAGAAAGACGCACGGTCCCAACAAAAGCGTTTCTGGAATAATTAAACAAAGTGGTCCGTTAAAATGAAAGTGGACTCCGTCCACCTGCACCGTCCCCCATTCAATTCGAGCTCTGAAAAACTACAGGCAAGTCATTGTTATTATGTAAACCATTTTGGCCAATCGGCGTCAAAAAGATTTCGTCGAGTAAAGTAAAAAATCGTATTAAAAAAAACTCTCGGCTTCAATAAAGTTATACCTACTTATGACTATATTTTGGTAATCGAATAACGTAATTTATGATTATAAATGTAATTTAATAGCAGGATTGAAAAGATTTGTCGATGTTTTTTTTTTCTTTAACCTAACCCTTTGACCGTAGGTTACCAATAATGTTTTTTTAACCGAACGGTCACGCTGTTAGCGTTTTACGAAAAATCAATAAGCGACAACGAATCGAGGATTATGAATATGTATAAAATATATATTATGCTGCTTTACCGTGTTGAAAGAATATATTTTTCGTAAAAAAAAAAAAATATCTCAAATACTATTCACTTAATTACCTATAAATGTTATAGGTGGTAAAACTGACCAGAAAACAAATCACATTTTTCAAATATTGTACTCTAAAATTTCGGAATAAATACGCACGTCTATTTATCCTAATTGATTATTGGTCACAAAACTTCGGGCTGATGATTACCCATGTGCGTCACCGTTTGCATGCTGACTACCATGTCGTCTTGGTGATGTGCTGCCGCGACCGCTTTTGGATCTTCGTCTTTCCACTTGTCCATCGACCGTCTCCTGGCGTTCATGAAGAAATTACCGACCGTAGTGGGTTCCAACCCCAATTGCCTGGCTATGGTCACCTGCATTTCTTTAGACGGCCTTTTCGTTTCCTAATGAATTATATAATTTAATGAAAAAACGAATTTTGAAAAATAATGTTTGGAAAATAAATTCATGTATATTATGTTTTCCTATATACGCGCAGACTAGCATGACACGCCTAATGTCTATAGTTTATAACATTTTATCGTGAGAAATTGTTCAAGTGACGTTTTAATAGCTTTTAAGTGATGGGCAAAAAAATAATAATAATAATGTAACATGTTCAATAATTACCTTGAAAATGGCTTGTAATGTTCGTCGTTGAAGATCGGTGAAGACTAAACGTGGTTTTTTAGGCGCAGCAGAGTGTTCGGAAATTATCGGACTGTCTTCTTTTCGTTTGCAAGTGGCTATAAAAATACCAAAAGTTACGTTCGTTAAAATTAATATATTATTTTTCAAAATGAATTTTTTGTTAACACAAAAGTTGTAAATATAAAAGTAGTATTAGTTTAAATAAACCTATTTAATTTTAATTTTTAGATTCTGAGTGGAGCAAAGAAGCTTATGGTTTTACAATGATGTTTATTTTTTTTCTTTGAACAACTTTTCTACCAGCAATTTCGCTCAGATTTACAATGAGAGCACTTTTTCTAAAAGGAAATTTGATTGAGAAATTACTTTAAGGAGTTGGTTTTTTTTTCCAGGAGTTTTCCCATTAAACGAGAAAAATATTGTAAAAACCGGGAAAAACAGGGAAAATAGGTACAATATTATATAAATATTATTAAAGAAAATGTTTAATGCTTATGTAATTATTTTAACAAAGTATGACATAGGTATTGTTGAAGAATCAACACTAACAACCGCACTCCGCTCAAAATCGTTTTTTCGTTTGCATTGGTTAACCGTCGTTTACAGATATACATTAAATTTCCGTCCATATCCTACTTTCCTAACTTCCCACCTACAACATTGGCTTCACCCATCCCCATTATCCTAAGACATTTTTTTTTTTTTAGTTACGAAGCGATTAAAACTGAACTTGTAGACAGCATCCGTTAAAGATAATAACATAAATGATGTTAAAAACCCCCCAAAAAACTGGCGTCGAAATAAACCGTCAACATTTAAATAATAAGACTCATTATAAACAAATTAAAAAATGATGAAATCACTATAAAACTAACCGATAATTTTGTAATTATGTTAAATGCAAATTATTATCTTTAATGCAATGCAAATTATTTCCAACTATGAACAAAATCTCTTAATAATAATAATAATATATTTTATGTCTGTATTATTGTCTTTGAGCATTGTAAATTTTCAAATATAACACTAAAAGCAAATTGATAAGACATAAATACATTTGCCGAATTCGTTAAATTAAATACACAATATACGTAATATTGTTAACCCTCGGTGTTGTCATGGTGGTAAAATAATGGAAAATTTCTATAAACATTTATGTTCGGCATTTTGTTAAACTGTACATTATAATATCAGTGTATGGATAACGAACTCGATACAATGTTAAGTATATATTATTATTATGTAACTCAACAACTTATAATTTTGATAACAATGTTCGATCCTTTCGATTTTGAAATCTTGTGTTACGATTTCATAAGAATGCGATCATATCTTAATTGGCGTTTAATGTTGTATTACCAATTATAAATATAAATTAATAAAATCTATGCATATAGGAAATAGATATAGTTATGTTGATTAATGTTAATTTTAAATATAGGTATATGAACAATACTGGGGTTGTGGGTAGTATGGGATGTAGGATATATATACCCAACTCCATTAATTTAAAAATACAACAACGATGAGTATTTAGTAATTTAATTATGAAATGTATAATATATTTCAGGTAATTGTAAGTCACATGGGAAAGCTTAATTAATTAAATACAGATTGGCTTTTATGAAACCGGCTTTTAAATTTCCATTGTAGAAGAAAGATTCTATCGTTTATTCATGATTATTATTTACCCATTAGAAATTCCTGGGTGCGCTACTCGCTGGGAATACGAATATGATAATCCGATACGTTCAGTAATTTATTCAAATCCCGTTCTGCTTTTGTGGTTTATTTTGAAAATGTTTGACCCGTAAAATATTACTGATGTAAATTTTTAAAATGAAAATTCTTTGGATCAAAAAATCCTTGAGCAATAAAATCTTAAAATCTTAAAAACTACCATGGGGTTTATAAAATTCAGAACAAAAGTTGGAACACAAACAACACAAAACAACATATTACGTTACCTTGTATCAGTAATCCTAACTAAAATTAATTATAATTGAATTTAATCCATTAGTATTATTGAATTAAATTGAATTTGTATTGTTATTATTTCCAGAAAAATAATTTCTTTGAGAATTTGATATTAAAGTTATTTTAGTTTTCACTGGCAGATTCAAATTTTATTTTACAGTGTAATCTTTTAAGAGTTGTATACGGGTTTGAATACGTTGGTCGTATTAAAATCGTACAGTTTTTTTTTTTTTTAGAAAAATGAATTATTCGTTATTTAAGCTTTAAAAATATTATTTTCTAAAGATTAAAACTTTTTCTTACATATATTTAGTGCATATTTCAATTTTAATTATTTTATAATAGGTAAGTTACTTATTTTATTAACTTGAAATATGTTTAAGACGGTGTTTTACATTCTTACCTACTTTTAATGTTTATATGTAAATGATTTTTAGATATAGAAAAAACAAAATTAATCTCATAAATATTTAAATTTGTGTCTAGATTCAACAAAAAATAATAAAAATAAATAATATTTAACTGCTTTTTATAATGCTAAAATGTTTAACAATATAATTTCTATTGTCCAACATAGTAGAAAAAAAAATGTAATGAATGGATCTTTTCAAAGGTTATTATCGACAAAGTAGTCATTATAAATATATGTATATGCAAGCCTCATTATATTGCTGAACATCTTTCTCTCCTATTTTTTTGTTTTTAATATACCTAACTTTTAAAAAATAATAACAAATATAAATAATTATAAAAAAATATATATGAGTGTTCTAGAAATCTGAATTATTTCTTTAATTGTTTGCAGTAGGTATTATAATTATTATGTTTTAATTAAAGCTCCGAGGCTTTTGATATTCAACAGTTGCATGTTTAAGTATATATATTAAATTCGTTTGTAGATATTTACATATTGTCGACCTAAATCGTAAAGGTCAAAACTCCATTTATTATTGAAATATAAGACGTGAGAAATTCTTAAACGATTTGAACTTCGAAAATTTAGTTGTGCGAAAAATGTCTAATAATGTGTTGCTTATTATATTATTAGGTATATAGGTACTATCATAGTCATTGATTATTTTCAACACCTTATTGAATTTGATGTTCAAATTTGATTTCTTTTCTGTGTCGTAAATTATAGTATATAAACTTGTATTATATTTGTTGCGTTGTTTTGTTAACCGTTTAAAGTTAGGCGAGGATAAATGGGACTTAAGTCCAAGGCCCAGTGCTTGTTTCGGTTTTATCGGGCCCTACGGTATATTATTTTTTAGGTATATAATCATTGGTTATACTAAAGCATTGTCCAGGGCCTCGCCAAACCTAGCGCCGGCACGACCGTTTATAATGATATATTATATAATATTCAAAAAAGAATAAAACTATTTTATAAAATAAATATTAAATATATTGTGCGTTCAGTGTACACTAATTATAATATAATATTAATGTAACGAAATAAAAACCCAACTGTTGATCTTCAAATTAAATTTTCAAGTATTTATGTTTAATCAAATCATTTTATTCATGGAATAACTACAGAATAAAAATTATGTAAAAAAAACTAGCAAATATAAAATGCTTATAAGTAGCACACAAATCGATAAAATGTTTTGTACCGTATCTAGAAAAGGTAAAAAAATACTTATATAAGTATTCTGGGAAAATTTCAACTCACTGTGGCAATTTTTAATAAATACCTATTTAAAATAACGAAACAATTAATGCTGTAGATGTTTATGTATTTCTTATGTTTATCTGATTTTTTCTAATTCTGAAAACTGGTCGAAAAATCAACAATAACTTACTTACTCACTAACTAGATCTAAAATTTAACAAATTAAAGTATCTTGGTATTTTTTGATTCAAGATTTCTGATAGAAAACAAAGTATCATGGTGAAACCTTGCTACGCTCAGAATCTAAAAAATAATACCATTATAAGGGTTACCTGTAATTAGTATGTTTAAAAATGAACAAAGCTACGATCAAGCTATTAATACTCAACAACAGACACATTTTGTTAATTTTTGTTAAATAAAAATATTTTATTCAAACGTTTTTAGTGTAGATTTGTTGGTATAAAAAAAATATTGTTAAATATTAATAAATATGAACGGGTATTTGTACACACATACAAGTAGTATTATTTTAAACAATTACTTACGGGTTCGTTGCTGAATTTGGCCGGTAACTGTAACAAAAATGTAAATAATACATTGTATTATTATATTATGTTAATAGATGCGGATTTTAACTATTACACTATTATAAATTTGTCAAAATCATGAGTAATTAAAACGTTTTTAATTTTATCATTGCATTCGCTAAAATTATTTTACTTTTACCTTCCAAACTTCCAATTTGGCCTACTTATAGTGCGAAGATATCCCTTTGTTTAACTATCGAGGACTAGCTAAAATTATGAGAACAATATATTGTTTCTTGTAGGATACCAATACTACTTATCACATAATACATTACAAATATTATATAGGTACTCTTTTAAGTTTCATTTTCTCTTATTTGTAAACAAACGTATCTATACTAAACAATAAATTGGTGCTAATAAATTTGAATAAAAAATAAGTGTGTACCAAGTCAGGTATGGTAAGTATAAGGAAAACAAGTGTACCTCATCCTAGGGTGGTGTTAACAAATTTATTTACCTATTATACTAAAAATTAAAGTGTCTTTTACGAATAATTACAAAAAATAAACTCAGGTGTCTAATCATTCTGGGTTATTTAGTTATATATAGATGGGAATTTGTTCACATGTTGAACCATGAATTTAAACAATACGTAGGAAAAATTTTAGTTGGAATAATATTAGTACCGTAAATATCATTTAAATTTTTTGTAGAAACATTTTCGGAATAATTCAAAATAACTATTTAATGAAAATTCGTTTGTTAAACAATAACTCGGAATAAAATATTTGCTATTAAAATTGATTGATTTTTATTTATCTTGTAGAACATAATTCGTAAAGAAAAATGGAACACAAAGCTCAGGGGAATTTATTACGTGCGGTCTCCCACAAGGTACTGTACAATTTCCTCTATTAATATTTACTATTTAATATTCATATAAATAACATTACATCACTAAAATTAAACGGAGAACTCGTTTGATATGCAGATGACATGGCTCTTATTATGACAGGTGATACTTGAAAGGGTGTTTTCCTCAAAATCCAGGCTGATATTAAATGTATACGATTGAGGCTATTAAAAAATAGTTAATATTTTTAAATTTAGAAAAAACTTCTATGTTACCTCACTACATAATTAACAATGAATTTCCGAATATTGATCACATTTTATTTCATTTTTCCGACTGTACTACCCCTTACTCATGCTCTTGTGATAATATATTCAAAATTAACTTTATTAAAGATTATTATAAGATTATCTATAGATAATTTAATGTTTACCTGAAAGTAATGATAAACCGTTGCTTATGAAAAAACGATTCTGAGCGGGGATCATTTTTAAGTGTAGCACCTTGTCTGAAAAGAATTTGTGTGGGGAGGTACTTTAAGAATGTCATTTTTCGATTTTTTCAAGAGGTTTCTCATTAAATGCGAAAAACCGAAAAAAAACAGAGGAAAAATGCGAAAAATGTATGGGAAAACTGAGAACATTACACCATTAAAAAAATATAATTAAAGAATATATATAAAGCCTATTTAATTCTTTTACTATAAAATAACATATATTGACATATTGTTGACAAAGCATCACTATCAACTGAACCCCGCTCAGAATCATGTTTTTGTAAGTAATGGTTTATTGTTGCATACAGATATACATTAAATTATCTATGACAGTGGCGGCACCGTCCCCATTATCCTAGGACGTCTTTTTTTTTTTTTAAATTTGTTTTTAATGTCATATTGTTAATTGTAGAAATATAATTACAAGATGGTTCCAAGAGAATTCCAACTCCCAGAAAATTATTTTTAAATTTTTAAATTGTCGAATTTTTTTATTCAATAACAACGAAATTATAATGGACACATGCCTCTGAGTACAGTTACCTAATCAGACTGACAAAATGATCAACGAATTAGTAACTATTATACATTTAATGTGAACTTGAATTTATTTTATCATTTTAATACATTTTTTGTTTCTACAAAACGATTTTAATGGTATGCATTTAGATGTAATCTGTTTAACAGAAACATGAAATGATGTAATCTATTATAATTTTTCCATACTTTGTTATAAGTTATATTATTTAAAAACTAAAAGATGTGATTATAGTTAAAGTGTAAATTTAGATATAGATGCTAATATTATAAACATTATTTTAAAAAAATTAAATGATTTAATTTAATTTAATTTTTAATAATTTAAGTATCCTTGGGTATGTTTTGTATTTATAGATCACAAGAATGAGGTACATATTAAAACAGCAATACAATTTTAAAAAAATAGTAGTTTTTAAACTATAGGAATTTATAACCAAATTATAGTAAAACAATGTTCATGAACTTCGTGATAAATAATACAGAAGAAAATGTTGACAATTTAACTTTACACTTTTTTGATGGTAATAACTTGCGCAATGGTATAGAATGTAAAACTTTATTTAGAGTCTCAAGTATACGTTATTTGAGACCAACTATTGATAAACACATGAGATGGAATTTACATATAAATTACTTAGTAACGCGTCTTTGTATTTTGAGTTTTAGCCTTTTTAAGTTATGCAAGATTGTATCGATGCAAGTAACTCGTGTAGTATATTATTTAGCTATATACCATCAATAATATATGGACTGTTAATTTAGGGGGAGGGGACTTTCAGTAAATGATCTATACTATTATTAAACCACCAAAGAAAAATAGTACTTATATGTTTACATAAATCTTCTTTTTAAAATTCGAATAGTATATAAATTTTAAACCATTTAATGTATCTATTAAACCAGAAGATTTATTATTTGAAAAATTCATATTTCATGAGTGGCAAAATATTTATAAAACTGGATTGATTTAATTGAAATGGTAAATAAAAACAAAACCATAGCCTATGATGCTAAATTAATCTATTTCAAAAAATCATTCACTATAGACTATCTCGGTCTTACTTATTTTAATACTATGCCTGATATTACAAAAAATAAAGTATTACCAATAAATATTCTATCATAATTAATTTTGGAGAGCTCTATGAACATACTTTACCCCATAAGCCATACACATGTATACAATAAACTATTACAATACTGATGAGCTTGACAGGCATGGCTGTTACCTAACCCTTCCCTCCCCTATCTTTCTAAAAAGTCTAATCCTCACCGATAATACTCTTAATTAATAATTACTCATGGATCAGTGTTGAACCCGTTTCTGGTCTGTTTTGAACATTTAATAATAAATAATATAGATAGGAATATGAAAAGCTCTGTAGAAACATTCTAGCGACATAGCGTTCGGAAATATTCATGCTTGTCTATTTAACCCCTTAGCCTTTCTTCGAGAAATACATACGTGCAAAGGAATAATTATAGGAAACCAACAAAAATTTTGGAGCGGGAAATATATAAAAGCGCCTCCGACAAATGCCACGAGTTTATCCCGTGTAATTTATAGCATGGGGTGGCCAAACTTACTTTGGTAGAGATCTACTAATAATATATTTTTTCTTTGAGGATCGACTTCCTAACAAAAACGTATAACTATGAATTACCTAATAAATATTAATAGTACCTACACATACACGTACAAAATAATAAAACTAAAATGTATAGTTAAATAATATTTTTCATCACACTATTATTAAGACTAACATAGTATTATTGCAATTACAATTGCCAGGACAAACTCTGTTGAAGTATATTACTTGATAAATTTTTAACAAAATAAAGATAATATATTCAGATAAAAATGATCAGCAATTGTTATTTATCTACTAATTCCGTACAAATAAATTCTAACAAAATGGAGATCGACATTTAAATCATCTGCGATCTACCGTTTAACCAGCCTTGATCTATAGAATTTGCTAATAACAAACGGTGATAAGTCATGTCTGCAATACAATATTATTATTTAACCGACACCCTAGTTAATATTTCAGTAAGTAACACATTATTTATTATTGAAAGTTTGCAGCAAACTTAGGACAAAGTTTTAGAGTTTGCGATGATAATTTTTTTTTTTTTTTTTTTTTTTTGTGAAATGAATTGCAATAATAATTTTATTTGACATTTATTTCTGTTAAATTACTTGGTGTATCATTAAAATTCTATCGCTGCAGCAGTTCAAAATAAATTACAGACTTTATAGATCAAAATATATACCTAAATATAGTTGAGCTTATAAGCTCAATATAATATTTTCGTATATGAAAATATCAGACAAACTAATACAGAAAAAGAGCGTAATTTAATTAAAATCACTACGCCAGAGAAATAAAAGAATTGCTCTTGATGAAAGTAATCTAATATTTCTAGAGAGCGACCATTTAAACATTTCGTGCACAGCGAGTAATAATTTTACAAATGAGATATGACAGAAATGATTATGAAGCGTAATAAAGAAAAATAGTGTTCTGTATCGTACGTATACACAGTCATACGGATACATACTATTATATATAACAACCTATGACAAAATAATGGTCTTCTGAATAATTTATACCTATAAGTGTACAATGGAATAAATACTAAAACTTTTTATTTAGCAAGTACGCGCTTTCGCGTATTCACGTAAAACATTAACATTTTAATCCGTAAAACCGTGTTCTTAAAAAATTCATGTTGTTCTTGGATAGTAAATTCATGTGTATTAGTACAAATTTTTCAGTCACATGTACACGAACTCCATTTTTGCATACTTTATTAATTCACGATTTCAATCAAGACCGCAAGTTAAGACCGTATTTATCTGTTTTCCTCGAGCACGTTGTTATTAAAGATATTTTATTCTTCGGCATTAAAATAAATATTGTAGTTGTATGATCAATATATGCATATGTATACATATACCTATATAATATATCTAAAGGTGCCTCGTTTGGTTTATTGATATAATTCAATCCAGTATCGTTTTAAAACACTCCACTCCCTCCCCCCCTGAAAAGTTTTCAAAAACTATACTTCTTGAGCATTAAATAAAATACATATAGTTAAATTTTGGATATATTTAAATACACTTTATCGTTAGAGCAAAATAATGAGTGTAAACGATTTTGCAATTATCTTATTAATTCATAGAAAACCAACTTAAAAATGATGCGCTACGGACACTAAAAATACAACGAACCGCATAAAAAGTACGTTAAACACTCAAACACGACTGTTATAGTTTTTAAAATACCAATTAAAAATGTATTATTATTAGTGATTTTATGGTTATTAAAAAAAAAAAAATATATATATATATATAAAAATAATAATAAACATAAAAAAAATTATTGGATTTTCATAAATTATATTTTTTGTATTTTCTCGTAAATCTTTTTGCGCTTTTATTAAAATGAAATAAAAATCGAATAGATTCGAAAACAGAAACAGATCGAATACATTATATTTGCTTTCAGTTAAATAACTCTACCGAAATTCGGAATTCAGTATAAAACAAATGCATCTACGTAAATAATAATTATATGAAGCACTTTGAAAAATAATTTTAGCCAATAACAGGTTAATTATATCGACCGTCATTGGCAGCAGATAACACGTTTTCGCTATTAATTCAATGAATATAAATTATTATTACAATGTCACTTACCCATGACGTTGTTAATGTAACTCCCGACATTCTGTGTTGGACCGTTTTGTCCATTTATTCCGTTTTCAGCCATCAACATACCTGAAAAATAACAAAAAATAAAAATTATCGAGCTTATTTAATAATAATTTATTGACAACACTCTGTTAAATAATAATATTGCGACGCCACTGTTAAGCCGCGTAAAAAATTACAAAACAAAAATCAATGCGTTATTGATATTTTAACTATTCTTTGTAATAATATAAGTATCTAATGTATAATATTTTTATATATATCGGATATAATCAGTGCCAATCGTTGTCGGTAAATTACTTATAAATGCACGTTTGAAGTTTATATAAGTATACCTATAGGATACGAGTAGGTACTTTATAATATTAATATCGAAATCTATTAGATTTTTCAATTTTCACAATGCATACAGCGTACATTAATAAGAAAAATTACTTTTTTTTTTTTTACAACCGACCGTAGTTTATTATTTCAAAGTTTATTGGAGACAAAAAAAAAAAAAAAAACCTTCACGATTTTTGATTATATTATATTATAGGCTATTTTGTTGTATTTTTTAAATTTATGTTTGCCACCAAAAATAATACATTTATTGCGCTGTAAAAAATAGGTACTTTGATGATTGGAAATTTTCGCAGAATAGTTTTATATAGTTTTTATACAATACGGTAGGTAGGTATTAAGAGTGTGAATATAAAATATGTGAAAAGTTTTTTTTACTATATATGTTGCTTTTTTCTTTGTTTTTTTTAAAAAAAATAAAGTCCTCCCGTTTTATTTGTTCATCTACAATTATCGAGTTCAAAGCGAATGTATTTAGTTTAGATAGTTAATTTTTATTGAGTATAGATATATGCATAATTTATCTATAATCGGAAATTGGTTAGTAAAAAATTAACCGTGAACTGCAGAGCTCCGTCACTAAAGTCGAATTTCCGTTTATTTTGCATTGTAGAAATATGCTTTGTAAAACAATAAATAACCGAATATACTATTGTATAATAAACTACAATCTATAATACTATTTCTGAAAAAATGATGAATTTGATTATAAAAACGGTAGGGATGAAATTTGAAATCCCCAAAAGGTAAATCTTTGATATTAACATCATGTGTCTACAACGTTTCCACCACACGGCTTCATTTGCACGATAGGTGTTCAAAGCTAAAAACCACGTTCCTTCCACGACATCAGGGTGAAATTCAATTTAACTTTTATCGCTTCAATATGAAATAACTCCGATTCCGAAATTGGAATATAAGTGATATTATAGAGTATGTGAACTATTACAATTTAAAAATCTTTGCATTCGCTTGAAATTTAAAATAAAGAACAAAAAGTTAATGCATAAACGCAGAGAATGTTCTTAAATTTAACATCGATAATAGGCTAATTAATTATAATATTAAATTATAATTTTAACATTATTGGTTCTACTGAACGAAAATTTGACATTATCCAATTTTTACCATTAACTTCACGTATTACATATAATTTAATGACAATTGCCTATAGTCTTATTGCGACTTTATTATGATGATATTTGATATTTAACAAATATTAAAAACATTTACGATGCGGGTATATTGGTATAGTGTTGTATTATTATTCATATTACTATATCGTTGACTTTTATTAAAAAACGCGAATGCGGCTTTATTATTGTAAAAATACAGCGATATCAACGTGTAAGTATATATAAAAAAAAAAAATTTAAAAAAAAAAAATGTTCAAAACCAATTGCTATACGTGTAGTATAATAAATATTATAAGGGAATGGAAATTTGTTTTCTCATTCCCGTAACTTTTAACCGCGAGTAGGTGAATACGTTTTCGTGTACTTCTATTGAATTTATTGTTCACGATGCAAATCCTCGAGCTAAACGCGTGTAATACAATAAATATAAACGACGAAAATAAATTGTGTAAACACTAAAAACAGCCCTGTTTACTTTTGAATACAAAACGTTTAAACATTTTTCCCAAAGAACTCCGATAAAGGAATTTCAAATGTATACTTTTATTCTCTCGTTCCTCCATTACACTCTTGTAGTAATTGAATTTAAAGCCATTGAGCATATTATTATCGTTATTATTATTATTATAAGGATTTGTATTGTCAAATATACACACGTTGACGGCAATCCGAATGCGAAAATGCCGTACATGTATTTGTTTGGCAGCGTCTTATATTCGATTTTAAATCCGCTCGAACGTACAAAACTCTCTTTATATTATTACATATAAACAGTTGTATAATGATTTCGTATTTTAAAAAGCTCTGTGGTATTGATCTTAACGCACCAGTTAAAAACATATTAATAATAAAACTTGCAATCATGACTAAATCGCATTGGAATATTACATTTTTCGAAAAACATGTGATCGCTAAAGCAAATGTGTAGGCACAAATATAGTTTATTGTAATCATTTGTAGTGTAGGTCACTCTATAATATGTATTTAATAGCAAGTTAATACCTATAACTGAAACGTCAAAATAATTAATGCTTCCAGTACAAAAATTATGTCCACAGTATTCTTAGACAATGATTATATCAAAGAAGCTAATAGTTTTACAAAAATGTTTTTTTTTCTCAGAAAAAACTATTTTAATTAGTAAAAAAATGTTCAGCTATTAAAAATGTTTTCACGCAGTATCTCAAACAATGTGGACTTTCTGCCCAGTGGTACTTTTTCGAGGTTATACATATTTTGAAAGGCTGTAATATTTAGGATTTCAAAACAATACGTTTCATAAATTTCGTATTTTCCGATTTTCCTACGTTTTTGCCTGGTGTTTCCCATTTATTATGAAAACCCCTGGAAAAATCAAAAAATGACTTCCTCAAAGGAACATTTCTAGTTAAATTTCCTTTTAGAAAAAGTATTGTACAATAAAATCAGAACAGCATATCTTGTAGAAAAGTTGTTTACAGAAAAAAATAAACATCCAAACATCGTTAAACCAATACATAATACAAAAAATACGTAAAGCAAAATTGAAAATAATAAAACTATCATTTCCGTAAACTTTTTTTCCATTTTTTTTTTCGCTTTTACTCAATTGTTAAACATAAATCAAAACACGACTTTTTTATTCAGTAGCCAGATTAAAAATACAACAAAAAAATTCTCTTAGTGTATTTAGATTTAAACAATATTTCAGATAGAAAACATAGTTCGTAAAAACTAAAACCAATGAAGTCGATAATGTCTCAGTGCGCTAAATATATGCACTGTTTTTCGAAAACAAATTTCCGGTTTTTCAAATCATTATGTTAACCCTTTTTGAAATCAAAAAATGACCTCTTCAATGCACCAATTAGATACAATTTTCTTTCAGAAAAGGTGCTACAATTTGTACATCGGAGCAAGTTTTCTAATTGAAATAATTAATAATATATAATAATACGGATACAAAAAAAAAAAATACATACATCATAATAAAACAATAGATCCCTTGCTACACTCTGAATCTAAAAAGAACCACGGTCCATGAAGTAAATCGATAAATGTAAATAAATGTTTGATACAAGTTGTCCGTCCAATATTTAACGGTGATCGTTAATACAAATTTTACTAAGTACTCTTAAGTACCAACGTGAAGCTAGTACAACAAACATAGCACAACACAGCAAAATTGCTGGTAGTAAAGTTATTCACAGGAAAAAAAGCTATAATATTTTTTTACTAATACCTGCATTTTGTTTTTTTCCCTGTTTTCCCGGTTATTCCCATTAATCGGGAAAATCAAAAAATGACCTCCTTAAAGTACCAACCCAGGAAAATTCCCTTTCGGAAAAGATGCTGTACTTGATAATTCGGTGCAATATTTCGGGTAGAATTTGTCTACACAGTATAACAAAATAAAAAAATAAATATCTTTGTTAAACTAATACATTCTTCTCTACACTCAGAATCTAACATGCGCAAATGGGGAATATCCACTGACGTGGATTCTGAGTGCAGGAACGTGCAAACAACAAGACATTTAATGAAATGCTACCAGTAAGATGAAAGATAGTGGAGATTTTAGGACACAATAAAAATACAATGTAATTAAAATTGCTGATTTCTCGGAGAAGAAGGGAATCTAAATTTTAAATACCACTGACTGACACATAAATAAGAAGATAGTTGGTAGATAGATGAGAAGATAGATGGAAATCGTATTAACAGCTACGAACAGTGTTATCAATCCTCTTTTAAATTTAAACTATAAAAAAAAAAAATCAAAAATTATAATAACATTTTTTTCTTTATTAGCTGTTAATTTTGTTATTATGCAAAATGTTTCCCGTCTCACGAATAACATTGCAGTACTTCTATATTTAGAGGTAATAAACATTAAAAATTACGTACTATAATAGGTTTATAATAAATGTAATTATGAAAGTCATATTTAATTTTTTCGAACTTATATAGGCACTACAAATAACAGTTATTAGGTATTTATAGAAAGATAATAATCACTTAAATTTGTAGTATTTGCTAAAAAAGTTGTATAAATTAAAAAAAAAATAATAAATATGTTAGGCAGTTGGATTTTATTGCTAAATATTAAAGTAGATATTTTATTAGACTTGTTTTTAAACTTGTTGGAATTTAAATTACCTTTTTGACGATTTAATTTTATATTATTGTAGAGCTTAATATGTACCTGGCGTTACATTTTATACAAAGTGAAATATTTCTGGAAATTTTATCTAACGAATTCTGACAATACCGAGCACAGTCCCGTGGATATATATAAATTTATTTTTTTTTTTTTGTCCCGTTTATAGTGCTGGACATGTACCCATTACAAATACTTTATAGTTCAATAAATTTTCAAATTTTTTTCTAAACAATTCTGACAATGTAATAACTCTGAGCCGGGTTTGTTTGAGTGGTTTCGTAAAGTCGTGTTATTTTGTATTGCCAGCTTCACATAGGTTTATGAAGTAGCTAGTGAACTATTATCACTGTTACAATATGGTTCAGGCCCCGCGCACTCCACCCGCCGTTTATTACCCGTTCTAAATAGGTATTATCTGATATTATCCGGTTTTGAATAATTTCATAGGTACATCAATGGAATATCGACCCCGCCACGCCGTATAACTTTAAGCCCGGTATAAAATATTTATAATGATATTCAGTCTATTATTAAAACTGCAGTATACCGTAAATGAGTTTGTTTGTAATACGCGACTCTTGCATATTTTAGCGTAATAATAATTACCTACATCAAATTTCACTAATCGGGTTTAGGTAGATATCGATTAGCGAAAATAAAAATATAATACAATCATTAATAAATCGTAATACCAATGACGTACCTACGATTTATTTTACTCGCATCTATTAATTTTAATTACTTTCAAAAATGCATAATATATTATGTATCACACACTATAACAGATATTTCCGAGTTCGTAACAAAATATTAACAATTTATCATTTGATTACTCACCGATCACCGGATACAAAAATTATAATATTTGTATTATGAAATATAATATAATGAATTTTGTGAAATATTTATTGTATACTTTAATAACAATATATATGCGCCTATTATTTAATAACGTACTAATATTAATGTCTTTAATATTTTTCAATACAAATCAAACGCAATACCTAATAATATAGGACAAGTATTAAAAAAAGACCAGTATATACTGTGTGTATGAAACTACCGAATAAAAATTGCGCAAAAAGCTCGCAAAATTTAAATATCAATTAATAGCTCAAATGTTTTGAAAATTTTACCGTGTCTAGAAAAAACAAATTGGAATTTTTCGTAAAAATTTCAAGTAACTAGAAACATATTTAATTGAATTACAATAAAAAAAAACAAAATTGAAAATAATAATTTTTGTAAATTTTTTCGTTTTTCATACGTTTTTTCTAATTACTAGGATTATTAATTATAAAACCGCTTGGAAAATCAAAAAAATGACTTTCTTAATGTACTAACCAGAAAAAATTTCCTTTCAAGAAAAGTGCTACACTTGATACACCGGAATGAGATTTCTGGTAGAAATGTACACAATATTCAAAAATAAACATAATTTTTAAACCATTCCTTTCATTTTTACATTCCTCGCTTCATTCAAAATCTAAAATCATCGTAGTTCCATAAATATAGATAGTTTTTAATGTGAAGTTATAAATAGCAGAAATTAATTGTATTGCTCAATGTCACTAGTAACGCAGTGTTGTTTTATTTTTGTATTTGTATAACAATATACTTTAAACATAGCATCGATGTGAAAATTTAATCGATTAAAAAACTATATCGGTAAATATAATAGAGTTCAAACAATAATTATTGCGAAAATAAAAATACTGTGTTGAAGGGAATATCAAATATGATGTAATTAAAGCAGTATAAATTGATATCTAACGTACATACACAAAATGGTAAATGTGCAAGTTGCGCGAAAGATATTATTTAAATTCCGTACACCAGTCGCAGTTTATAATATTCTTCCTCTGCGTTTGGAATTTTCCAAATGTATTCAACGTGAATAATAATAAAACCTTTGTGTTACGCTCGGCTGTCATGCACTATAATGCCGTTCTCGTAAAACAAAGAACACGTTTTCGGCGTGAGTACAATTACGTGTAAATATAAATGATCTGCCATTAATTTTGTTAAAACGCGCTTTTGCCTAGCTAAAATAGGGCGTATGAACATTTTTAATACGTTTTCAGGAGAATAAAAAAAATCCCTTAGTTCTTATATACCTATATTATACATTATCACAGACGTGAATGGCACTTTTGAACACGATTATTACTATTATAAATATTTCAAAATAATTGTACTTAATATGAACAGAAAATTATACAGTGAAATTGCTTTTTAACACGAAACGGTATGTTCAACGATATGTACAATAATATATTATCTTTTAGGGTACACTTAAATCTCCCACAGTTTTCCATGGCCAATGAAAAACCCCCAATATGCACAGCATGTGTTATCCAAGTGACTGTCAAACACATAATCACCGATTTTCGAATACATCTCAATACCAAAACATGCTCCAATCTTCCCAATTCATCAGCTGAAATTATACACAATCATCATTTGGCGATCTCCAATATCAACAAATGCATTGCTGCAGCCAACACTTCAAACCAAAAATCTAAAAACCTTACTTAAAGTGCGCAATAATATAAAATGTACAATCATATTTTTCACATAAACTCATACATCATAAATTTGTAAAAACCCTTTATACGCCCAATGGCTTATGCTGCCGAGGGGTTTTTTTTAACAATAATTATTTAAAAAAATAATGTACCTATAAAGAGAAGAATAATTTACCGAAAACTATTTATACATGACTTCGCTCCCTTAAATCGTGGTTAAAGATATAAATTGTTGTGTGACAACTGACTGCTGAGAAAAGCGAGAAAGAGAAAGTTATTATAGAAAATGTCTACACCATTAATGCTCCAGTGTATTTTCTATGAACAATATGATACTACTTACAAAACAAAAGAAAAAAAAAAGGCGGAAATACTTCGCACGTGGGTGAGCTACTGTTGTAGTTGAGAAATTGGGAAGGTAGAGGTGACATTTAATGTATATCTGTACGCAACGATTAACCATGGCTAACGAAAAACGATTCTGAGCGGAGTTCGGTTAATAGTGTTGATTTATCAACAATATATATTATGTTATATTATAATAAAATATGCATTATATATTTTCTTTAATAATATTTGTTAATAATTGTACCTATTTTCCCGTTTTATCCTGGTTTTTCTCTGTTTTTTCCCGTTTTTTCCTATTTATTATGAAAACAGCTGGGAAAATCAAAAATGATCTCATTAAAGTACCATCCAAGTCAGATTTCATTTTAGCAAAAATGCTATCGTTGTAAATCGGAGGAAAATGGCTAGTAGAAAAGTTGTTTGCAGATAAAAAATAAATAAAAAAATTAACATCATTGTAAAACTAATGCATTCCTTGCTCAGCTCAAAATCTAAAATATATCAAAAATTGTTAACATTGAAATATAGAAACTTGTTAAACTAAATTTTCTTAAGTGGATTACAATATTAATTATCACAGTAAATTAATTATTATGTTTTATAATAACTAGATAGGTAACATATTTTATACAAACGTAAATTGCGGTCCGGGTACATTTCGTATATATAACTAAATAATTTGTATTCATATATATAAATTACCTCTAAGACTGTTTTTGTAAAATCAATATTTACTTTCCCGTTTTTCAGACTTAGTACTGAAAATAGAATTGTATTAATATTGGTATAGTTAAAAATAATGGTTTTACATTTTTTTGTTTTTGTTTATAATTAAAAAGTGTATTATTCAAAATGTATAAATAAGAAATTGGTAAAAATGTATAAGATTATTTTTTTTTCAATTTAATAAAAACGAATGTAAGCGAAAGAAGTTGAAAGTGATTGATGAATTCCAATTTCTTTTTCACAATTTTCTAAAATATTAATGCAATATTATATTGCCAGTCCTATGTCTAAAAAATGGGAAGGAAAATATTGATTAGACATAATATTTATGTATGAATAAAAAATATTAGACACATATTATGTGAAATATTATACAAAATTTACTTGGGCTGCAATTCACATAGTATATGATTGATCTTTTTTTGGGGACGCAATTTACTTAATCCGCCAAATCACACTGCAGAACCAAAGGTTTTGAATAAGGTCTACGATAAAAACATTTCCAAATCAAATATTTTTCTCCGTCACACAATCATTTATACCTTTAGCTTTTAACATAAATGTAGTCCATTCATAATTCAAATAGTTGTTAAAATCGTATATTTATAAAAGATTGTTAAATGAAATTATTTATATATTTTAAACGAAGATGTGCGACACAATACTATAATTAATTCTATAAAATACACACCATATAATATTTAGGCAAAAAGACTTTTTTTTTTTTTTTAAATATTTTAACATTTTTCCCCGATGGGACTGGACAGTTATCTACCTATAAACTAATTATATTCGTATGTTTAATAAAGGAACTTAATATTCATATTTGTTTATAACATATAGAAACTTCCCATGTTCTGTTTTTTTATTTTTTTTTTTTTTTTTTTTTATGTTCAAGTCTCTTTCCCTTTATGACAATTTTAGAGAGTTTTTGAAGTGTATAATTTTAATGATCAAAATAATTACCATCAAAGAGTTTTACATTTTATTTAAAATAAAACATGAAAAAAATATAATGTACAACTCGTTTAAAAAAATATAAAACTATTTAAATTTTTTTTTTTTCATACACAATTTTCAGACCAGATTATTCTCGTAGTTGGACCGAAATAAATTTATTAAATTAATGAAAATATGTGAATAACTTTTTTAGTAAATATTGTAATAAAATAATACATTATTATACCGGCTTATTGGCTTATTAGGTCATCATATTCACAAAAACTACTATACTGAAAACTTTTTGGAAGTCCAGTTTAATGTTTAAAGAACTGCCATTATTCATTTAACATCTCATCCAAAAATGGAGCTAAACGTAACTTTTTGTAAGTAATAAATAATTATAATGACAAAAACATTGTTTTTTGAAATAAAAGACATCATTATAAAACCTAGAGTAACAGTGTTAGTAAATTATAAAATGTTTCGCAAAAACTAAAATCCACGATTATTAAAACTAATTAAATATTTTAGATTCTGAGCGCAGCAAGTATGTTAGTTTTACTAACATATTGTGTAGGTGATTTTTTTTCGACAATTTTTCTACCAGAAATCTTGTTCAAATCAAAAATGTCAAGAGAGTTTGAAATTCAGATATAAATTAAGTAACTATATTATGTATCTTACCTTTCGAACTTCCCACTTATAACAGTTCCACACCCATCAGCAGTATCTGCAGCTCTTTTTTTAATTTAATTAAATCGAATTAAATAAAAAATAAATAGATTTATTCGCATTCGGTGCTAAATATAGAAGTTTCTATTTTACAAACTTAAATTTTATTGCGCACACCGCTATAGGGTTAACAATTTTGAAAATGTACGCAAAATATGTATTTTGTGTATATTGACTTCCATGGTCTTAAAAAAAAAAATCATTATGTTCTAAGTCCGTCTTGTTGAAATATTGCGTGTTACCATTCGAGTAAAACACACTGTACATTGTTACTGCCTCTATTTAAGAGGTTTATACATAGACTTCCAGGTTTTATTGGCGGATTCGGCTTCAATCTTTTTCCGTGTCTTGTGGTGCCAGATTGAAAATCCTGCAAGGGGATAGTAGCAAAGTACCCTCGGCACCCCTGCGATTTGCGCTTATTATATAATATATTTATATATATACGAGAATCATTATTGCTATTATTATTATTATATGCCCACCAAATTATCGTTGTGAAGTGGTTTCACGTGGAATAGAAATAATAAAGAGCAAGGGGAGCGCGAGACCGATCGATTCGGAACAATTAAACCATTGTGCATCGGTGTCCTTGTATTGCACGAGCGTACACCTGATGTAGTAAGTACACCCCACTCGTAATACGCGTATGCTCCGTATGGTCTACACAATCGATTAACGGTAATCGATGACAATGTATGATTTGAGGGAGCCTCGGTATCCCTAAAAAACATGATTATTTTTATTTTTATTATGTTCATCCACGATAAAAATGCGGCAAACATAATACAAGAAGCCTTATACCGGCGCGATTATTATTTTTTATTTTTATGTTGTTATATTATATTGACGTTATCCCGTCGTGTAAGCCATAGAACGGTGTATTTTTTTGTCGTTTTTATTATTCTCGAGATAGCTAGCTATTATACTATCTCGGAAACTACGTGAATACTGCAGACGACATTTTTGGAACCCAATCACAGTGTGTGTGTGGGGAGGGATTTCCCCTCCCCCGTTTTTTTTTTTTTTTTTGGGTTTCCAATACATATCAGACACATAGAAACATGAACAGAAAACAGTATAACAGCTATACGAGAAGACTTTTTTTTAAAAATTTTTATTTTCTCGATTAATATTTTTTTCGCCGTCGATATGTTTATGTTTGAAAATCAAATATACGATTTTCTTACTTGTAGATACACAAATATAGATTGTTAATGTCGCAAATTTTTCTTTTTTTCTTTTTTCCTCATGGTCGGCATGGTGATAGTTACTGCGAAATTCACAATAATTACTATCGTGAGCCTATTGTCGTGTAAAAAGTACAAAATTATCACACTATCGTGTATGTATGTATAATAGTTGATATAATTATTATAGTGAGAGTAGTAGTAACGATCACCACATGAACACATAATATTAGCGATCTATGTTTTACTGTAGTGTCGTAATTTCACAAACGAGACATTTCAATCCAGTGCTCGAAATGGAAAATTTTACAAACCGGAACGCTCATAAAATTAATATGCAAATTATAATATTAATTTTTAATTTTAATTTTTGTTTACTTTATAATACAATATTGTTGGTTAAATAGATACAAATAATATAAGTAATTTTAAGCTTACAAAATGTAGTTATACAATTCAAATTTGATAAATAGTTTATAATAATTTCCATAATGCTGAGTATTTGTCGTCAATTTTTTTTTCACGTTTGCGACTTGCAGTGTCATCAACTGAATTATTACCTTTGACTAACCACGAGCGTACATATTTTTCAGGACGAAATTCACTGAGTGGGGGGTCAACACAATTAACAAATAAAAGTGCAAAAACTGTACTAATATTTAATGAAGATCTGAGGGGTGTTAAAATTTAAATTATATCTTTACAAATAATTGTTTTCATTTCCATTGTCAGATGGAGCGCAATGTTCGCACAGGTTTTATCTGAGTGTAATATGTTCTCCATACTAATCCTGTTTAATACTTGTAAATCGATATCTATCGGTAAATCAACAAATGGTCTTTGATTTTTAATTATTTTTTAAACCGTTCTAAAGACTTTTTCAGTCGTTAAGTATTTCGCCCGTTGTAACTCTTCAATAACTTTTTTCTATCTGTTTTTTTTCGGATTGCTATAAAATATTTGTTGCTTTAATATGGCCCTCCGAATTTTTATGTTCATGTATTTTTTTTCGTAAAATAGACATTTGGGAATCTATTGTTTATCCATTTGACTCTATTGAATAATCTCGCCAAGGTTTTGAAATACGAACATTCTTTTCGTCAAATAATCCTAGTTTCATTATTTTTTTATATACAGTATAACCTAACTTTTTATTTTCTACAACTAACCAATTATATGATATTTTAAACTCCTCATACTGACTTTTATTCCAGCAAGTTGGGATATGTACATCACAATCAGAACTTTCAACATTTTCGACGATCGTTTCAGGATATTCTAATGCAACTTTTTTATTAGGCTTTTCTATTCCTGAGGAATCGTTCAAACGTTTGTTGACCCAATTTAATAAAAACGAACTCATAATTTATAATTATATTACTTAAAAGAAAAATGCACCTCATGCATATACGGATACACCAAGTGTCCGACCGGAGTAAAACACCGGACTAAATATATTATGACCTTGTCACTTGTCAGATTTTACAGTTTTACATTCAAAATATAATTAGGTAGGTATACAAAATACACACATACAGATTACAGATATTCCATAGATAAAGTTCGTTACAGTATACATCGTTTGTGATAGAATATGTTATCGATAGACAATAGTAAATTGGGTATTTTAAAAATACTATTTTTACGTTTTATTGCGGTCACGGATTTGATTGTATCGTAGTCTGTGGGTACTTTTCGATCATTAAATAGTTTACGTTTTTATTGCGATAATACGAAGAAGCGACACGCGTGATGTCAGGTGAAGCCTCTTGGACGTCTATACAAATTGAACTTCTCTCTATATTAAATATATTATAATTATTATATTAATATTATATTTTGTCAAAACGAAATTTTATAATTTTAATCTTCTAGATTGTGATACTGTCGATTTTTACGAACCGGAATCCTTAAATTTTAATTTTAACCAACCGGAACGGACGCAAAGTTTATACTACAAACCGGATATCCTCCGGCGTTGCATATCAGATTTTTAAAAATAATTTAATATTATAGTATACCTTAGCTTTGTATATTGTACTTATAAAATATAATTAGTTGAATATTTTTTAAAAATTGAAAGATATACTGAGGTATTATACAAAGATGTTGTATATTTTATTGCTGTATTACAGTTTTTAATATAAAGTAGAATACAAATTGTTTTAGTGGGAACGTGGTCATATCTTATTTGGTAAAAACGAGTATTGGTGGAAAAAAAAAAGGCCCACTTTTGGTGGTTACGTTTTACGCCCCAAGTCATACCTAAGAATCGTTAATAAACGGTAATAATCGTTCTAACATCAATTCCCGTTGTTATCGGAAAATAGTATTGATAAACTATTGTGGATAAACACTGGTAGCCAAAGACCTAGTTTGTTTAAACACTTTGATAATATGTAAAACAATAATATTACCTTTTATATATATATTATTATATATTATACCTTTTATATATATATTATTATATATTATACCTTTTATGAGTTAAAACATTTTGAAATTTATACCTCAGAAGTGGGGAAGGATCATACAATTCATATCTGTTTTAGTTGATAGATTGATCTAACTTTTCCCTAGTTGAAAATTCAAATTGTATATTTATTCCTGGTATAAGGAATAGAAATAAAACAAAGAAAATAATATAATACTAAAACTTAAACAATTACGATGTAATATGATAAAAAAAAAAAAATCAAATTCACTGAAAATCCTCCGAGAAATTGGTCGGTTCGTGATAAATAGATCACACTGTATAGGTAAATATAAAGGAGGCTATTAAAGGATACGTGTAACATCTATATTAGTATTATATAACGGGTCTTGAGCGTGTCATTCGATATTGGCGCGTGCGAACGTTTAGTGTATTTTATACCATCGTGTTTGTTCGTCACGTGTTGTACCTACAAAGTAACAACGTAATTCCTATATCAACAATGTGCCTTCATGCGTAGTTTTATACGTTTATAATCACAAACGTTTATTAAATAAAATGTGTATTATTTTTAAAACGCGTAACTGCGGACGCTGCAAACTAATATTATAATTTTTCACGGATAGGTGGGTAGGTACTATAATCTCGTGCCAATATGATTATTGATTCAATATACGATTCAGTGCACGATTACGGTGCTGTAGTAAAGTGATATTAAAAATGAATTTTCAGAAAAAATTTTTAAAAAAAAATGTATAAAAAATACGATTTTAAAAAGCTAAAGGATATATTTCGTAACATGGGTATGCCACATGTTGTGTAGGTTGAAAGTTTGAAAAGTATGGAACACAATTTAGTTCATAATATTACACTGAAAGCAACGATACATCATTGCTTGAACTATTCTAAGTAGAGTTTAGCAAACTAGTAAGTTCGTGGGTTTTTCTTCGTAGCCAAAGTATCTCAGAAATCAACGAAAATATAATCAATGCATCAATGCTATCAGTTACTTTTAGGATTTTAAATTGTTTAGAAAAACTGTTGGTTATCTTGGAATTTGTTTCAATTGAAGTACCACAGAGTGAAGAATAGTCAGGGGAGAATAGTGGAGCATTATTAGTGGAGGCGTTTTAATAATACTCCACAAATCTCCCCTGACCCAAACTCAAAAGAAGACTATCTCATCAACGGATTGACAAAAATCAAAGATATCAACATTTATTTTAACTAATACTCCATATATTTATAGAATTTTTAATGTAGAGTGTCATTTAAAAATCAAAATTAGGTAATGGTTTTACCCCAAAAAATAAGGGTAATAAAAAATAACATAAATGTAAAATTGTAAAGCTGCTTGTTAATTATATGTTCTATAAAACAAATGCCAAAAAAAGTTAATACTTTCCGGGATAATGAGTGTCTTACGAAAGATTTATCACTCTATAGACGTACACTACAATTCAGTTCTATAAAATACATTTTCAAATTCAAAAAAAATGTGAAATATAGTCCAGTATAGAGTGTATTTTACCACGTCTAAAAAAGGCAAATATAAGTTTTCTGTCTAAATTTCAAGTCTTTACGAATATTATTAAACTGAATTACAACAAAAAACAAAATTTTAATAATAAAATCATTATTTTCATAAATTTTTCCGCTTGTCCTAAGTTTTTTCCCTGTTTTTATCAATTATTAAAAATATCGTTTAGAAAATCAAACAAAAAAAACAAACTTTATAAAGTACGGAGTAGATTAAATTTCCTTTCAAAAAAATTGCTACATTTAAGACATGAGAAAAAAATTTCTAGTAAAATAGTTTCTCTTAGAAAAAAGAAAATATATCAATGTAAAATCAATACATTCCTCTGAATCTAAAACGTATTAAGAAGACGCCACACCAACATTTACTGCCTCCATCTTAAAAACGTAAAACAGCAAATTTTCATTTAATATGTCACATATTGTGCCGTTGGTTTTAATAAACAATTTTTTATGCTTTTAGCCAATTCGTCTTATTGTTTTTTAAAAAAACCATTGAAATACCTAGCAACGTTTTTATATTTGTAATGTTTATATTTTAAACATTTCGGAGATTGATGATTGTTGGGTCATATTTATTAGAATATAGTCCGCTTTACCGTATTAGATGTACCTTAGAATAAAATTAGATTATTTCTAAAAAAAAAAAAACAGTAACTATTGATTTACAAATCCTCTAGGGTAGGTCAGATTGGGAGCGAATCGTCCCCAGTCTGTCTTCAGACGTATAATAATATTATACTAAATGTTATCATCGGGTATTTGTTTTGGTGCAATTGAAATCACGTTTTCGAATTAGGCCCTTTGATATACCATGCGATGACCTTGTAGGGTCACCATTTAAATTTAATATGGACTGCAGCAGTCTGGAAAGTTTATAAAACTAACCACACGAAACACGATAATCCTCGGCTTCCAGCGTTTTATCAATACCGGAGACGCGTCAACAATTTTCCAACAATTGTTCGTGTCACATTTGAGTATCCACCGCAGGCGTCGTTTTCAACTCTCTGATTAAGTAGGTATTGTTTTTTAAAAACTTAATAGAAACGCGGCCACATAACAATATTAAAATAATTAAATTCCATCCTGATTATACCCCAACCGGGGCACAAAAATGTAAAGTACCTGTGAACGATTTGAAACTACGTTTGAACGATGTATAGTTTTCAAAATTAAATTCGAATTTAATACTACCGGGTACAAATGATATTATGTGCAGCATCCGCATCTGCACCTACAAAAAAACTATGTAATAATTATACTAAACTCGTCGAATTTCACAAAAAACCTATAGGTATAGCTGGTATAAGTATTTCTGGAGCCAGTATTTATGTCTGGGGGGCCCCAAACTTCAACATTTATAAAATATTGTCAATTAACTACTGATTGTTTTTTTTATCCAGATATTAAATATACGCATAATATTTTTAGATACTAACTATTTAACTATTTTTTAATTATTTTAGACTGCAGTATAATAATAAAATGTAATAATTTATTGTTAATATTTGTGTGAGAGAGAGAGTTAATGTTTACACAAATTACTGAAAAGTCATAGAAAATCACGTTTGTATTCACAAACGTGAATATAACATCATATCTATTATTTATACAGAGTGTCTCTCGGTGATCTGACACATGAAATATATTTTTTTCTATTTAATATATTTAATAAATAACTATATTCTTTTAAATAATTACTATACCTCTGCGCTACAGTTAATATATGTATAGATTTTTTAATTTTTATTTTAAGTTCCTACATCTAAAAAAAAAAGTATTATATTAATTATGGCGCAGATGTATACTAATTTTTTACAAATATATAATAGATATATTAAATACAAATGGACATACTTCACACGATGAATGGGCCACTGTTGTAAATAAGAATTTGGGAAGATTGAAGGGAAATTCGATATATATCTTTACGCAAACATTAATCATTGCTAACGAAAAACAATTTTAAGTGGAGTTCAGTAAAACATATTTTAATAGGCCGTAATATTTACGATTTGAAAATAATACATTTCGTACATTTTCTTGTTTTTCTTCCGATTTTTTTCGATTTTTCCTATTTATTAAAAATCTTCTGGGAAATCAAAAGATAATCTCCTTAGAGTACTACCTTAGTCAGATTTTCATTCAGACAAAGTGCTATAATTGAAAATCGAAGCAAAATTTCTGATACAAAAATTGTTTACAGATAAACAAAAATAAACATCATTGTAAAACCAATACATTCAATTCTTCGCTCAGAATCTAAAACATTGAACATAATAAATATCATTTCCAGTCTCAAATCATCATGGGACACTCTGTATACATACCCTGTCACCGTGAAACCCATTAATATTTTTAGAAATAGTGACACAGACTTCGGACCCAATATCACATAGATTTCCATGGCCTTTGTATTTTTTAACTGATAACAAAATGATTCAGGCGCCCTTGGTGTGCCAGGCCAATATTGCATTACACACGAACTGTTATTATTCGCTTTAATTGTCGTCTAATCAAACAAATAACTGCGGATATCGATTAAATCGTTTTCAAAATGGTTGATATTATTATGTAGGTTAGTTTTAATACGAAATATATACCGGAGTCAAACAATTCATTTAATATTTATGACGTTTAATTCTAGAGTATATCTAACTGCACTATAGTTACTACCTATAATATACTATTACAATAATGAAAAATATACACATTTATTCGAAACGATTTTATTGCTGTACGTCCGAAATTCAGAAATTTGACCTGTAAGTCGTTACACCTGTCTTACGTGTACATGTCTTTACATAAAATTTGGGAACACTGTTTTTATGCATGTCCTGTTCAGAGGTTTTGAAATTTAATAATATAGTTTTGAGGTGTTACACTTAAGTACAGTTAAAAAAAAATCACAGAATACACATTAGGTATATATATTATTTACTCATAATTTGTTTTCCTATATCTAACTTAACACAATTTACAAATTTACTATACGTATTATATTGTTAACTGTTAACTGAAAATCATTGACTACCCTACAGTGTTTATTTTTAGATATCTGACAAATTATATATGGCATATTATTATCATAGGTAGTCGTCAGAAAAAAAAAACGAACGAGTGATAAAGTCAATACTGCTTCACGTAGTAGAGATTCATTTATAATTTATGATTAATGAACCAATAAAAATATTATTGAAAACTTCATTCCATTCAAGTAAACAATAATATTATTACAGAATGAAAGGTTTCTCATCACGATAAAAAAAAACAACAACGCGTATTGATTTTTTTCTTTGATATAAACGAATGGTGAGGGTTATTTGGAATTGTAAAAAATACAAGAAGTTCTGTCAGACGAAAACAAAAATTGAATATTATAATAATATTATTATTATTAATGCTATTGTAAAAACCTAACAGAATTGACAAGACTGATAATGATAACAACTTCATTGTTGATGTTTATAATATTATTTTTTGGTGTGTAATTATGCAATCTATAGAAATTGGCTGTTAACTGTATTTACGGCATATTATTGCTCTCTTTGGTATTTATAAACACACTAAAATAGTATCTAAAGAATAAGTAAAACTTAAGTAAAGAGTTAGGGTTGAAATTTAAGGAATTGATTAAAAAGTTATGATACCTATACAACAAATAATTATTGTCAACAATACTCATAACATATTTGATCGTAACTACACTCCTGTACACCACATATGGTCAATGAAAACGCATTACACGAGCATATGTGGTATAATACTATAATAATGTGAAGTGGAACATAATTGTCGTATTGCATTATGGTCTCGATCGTAACAATATTACATCGTAGTTTATTATATTGTTAATTTTCTAACATTTATCAAATTAAAGTACTTATCATATACAAAATACTTATCAAATACTAGAATCTACAGTCTACACCGTCGAAATCAATGAATTTTGAAAAACGATCGTATTTTGTACTCGTGTCGATACAATTTCACTATACGTCTACACCATTGCACAGAATTAGCGGTATACACCGTACGGAATGACAGATGATAGTAGGAAAAAAGTGTACATAAGTGTACACGAGCGCATTTAAATATAATAAATGACTTAAATAAATAAATTCGTCTCGAGCAGCGCCCCGTCATTTATACACACGAAATGTATACCAAATATTGTCGACGATTGTATGATAATAAGGAAAATTATATTTTATCTAATTATCGAGGGTGCGATGTATAATCTATATGTATAATATAGATTAATGGTACAGTCACTTAACAATTATGGAAATATCCAACCAACTAAGCGACTTATTGTTTCATTTCAAGATCTTGGCGAAATTTGTTCAAGTATATAACTATCGTTTTTGTTATTTAGTTATTATGTAAGCTGTAAGGTTATTAATAGAAAAAAAAAATTTAAATTTGTTTAGAAAAAACATTGGCCTCCTTTATATCTAAGAATAGTATGCAATTTTTCCTAGATTTGGTATTAGTACAGACTTCTTTAATAATGATCCGAGTACACAGAACACCCAAATTAACTATTTACATAGAAGAGAAATTGTAATTTCGTTAAATGTAGTATATTATAAAGCGGAAAGAGCAGTTAAACTTATGGGAGATTTTCATGGTAGTATAACCGAAGACGATGAGAAGACTGAGTTGCTCTTACGCTGTGTCCAAGAATACAGACGACTATACCCTGACTGTAAAAAAGAAACGTTGAAAAATCAATTCTAATGAATATATTGCAATCTATAATAAAATTTTGAAAAAATAATACTTTCATACATCAATATAGATTGTAAATGAAAATAAATAAGAAGAAATATGTAAGAATATAATTTTTAGACAATTTTATTTAAAACATACAATGTAAAAATTTAAATTTTAAATCTGTAAATGAGATATTCATACAAATGTGAAACATATCATTAAGTTACGAGTGAATTAATGTACTCAAATTTTAAATTCAAGTCGGTGTGGGTTAATCTTAATAGATCATTCTGAAACTTTTTGTAGCGCATTTTTTATGCATATACACAAATTCATGGGATGAGACTGAAAAAAAACTGAAATTGATGAATATGAAAATTTTATGGACAAGGTGATCAAAATTTCACGTCACAACGATTTTCTTATTTAATCATGTATATGCTATATAAAGAAAAATCAAAACTGTATAATAAGTTACAGGGTACCAAGAAAAAAATCAATTTAAACAAATTCATAAATATATGTTCAGTTGATAATTAATTTAAATTTTAAAACTAACAGATATTTTTTGTTTTTAATTTTAGATTTTAAGCGGAGCGAGGAATGTATTGGTTTTACAATGATATTAATTTTGTATTATCTGTAAACAGCTTTTTTATCAGAAATTTTGATCCGATTTTCAAGTGTTGCACTTTTTTTAAAAGTAAATCTGACTGGAATAGTATTTGAAGGAAGATATTTTTTGATTTTCTCGAGAGTTTTCATAATAAATGGGAAAAACCGAGAAAAAAACGTAAAAGATTACGAAATGTATTATTTTCAAATCATAAATATTACGGCCTATGAAAACATGTATTATTAAACTCCGCTCAGATTATTTTTTCGTTAGTAATGATTAATGTTTGCGTACATTAAATTCCCCCTCAACCTTCCCAACTTTTCACCTATAACAGTGGCCACTCATCGTGCGATGTATGTCCGTTTATTTTTAATTTTAAAACGAATAAAGAAAGAACCTTAATGTTTGGCGGTGGTTTTATACTCCTTACATATAAAAATTTCCCCTACATACTAATAATAATAATATTTTGTCGCCCTGTGTTATCATTCACTTGACTATACTCCCTTTTAATTCTAAAACACGATGACGTCATTTTTTTTAAAAGAGTTCTTTTTCCCCATAGTATAATACAGAAGGGGTGACGTTCTCGATGTACGAGCGCATATATATTTTGTGCTGTTGCCAACGGCGACTTTGATAATATTACATAGACGACGCAGGTCACTGTCCTCGATTCATTTTTCTCCCCATGGCTAGTGCACTATTATTATTCTTTTTATAGATAGGCGCACCATATCGCGTTTCTAATACAATATGCATATGTATATATTTTCTTTTGGTATTATTTCAGTATAATATGTGTAATTTTTATTCGAAACGAACTATTATTCATTATTATTATTATTATTATTATTATTACGGAGATGTAATGGCGAATTTGTACTGTGTATTATACATAAATCCAAAGGACTTTGCACAAGTAATCCATTAACGTTTGTATTCAACAATATATTTTATAAATAGATTCACTAGCACAAAAAGAAGGGACTTGGGGGGTTATTCCTAAAATGTATCAAAACCCCCCTTCCAAATTAAGCTAGTGGTGCATTTGAGGATTTATCTTGGTGGGGGGGCAGCGATATAATTCACACACGCATATATATATATTATATTATATAATAATAATTATTATGTAGTTAGATTGAAACTGAGTCCAGTAGCGTATATAGGGAAGGAGTCTTGTACATTTCACATTATGGACTTTTTTGAAATTCAAGAATTATATCATTTACACTACTCTTTGTATAAGCGATAAAGTACAAGGAGGTACGGCTGTGATCATAAAAATGTCTACAAAGCGGTTTCATAAACACTCAGAATTACACATATATAAGCCACAAGTGTTCGTATTAATGACGGGAAAAAAGACCTCACAATTACGACTATTTATTGCCCACCTTGAGGAAGCGTTGATGCACTTAAATTCGCTAAATTTTTACAAAAACTAAGAGACTTATTCGTTTTCAGTGGAGATTAATTCAGTTAACTTCATCTATGCTGATATAATTTCTACCAGGAAGCCAACCTATTGGCCGATCGATCTGAATAAAATCACTGATCTACTTAATTTCTTTGTTACTATAGTATCTCTTATAATTACGAGTATGTTGAAACTGAAGGCCTAATTGTACTAACATTTGACCAATTTCCTGTGCTACTTTCGTTATTATCCGATATCGTAGACATCCAAAGGATAAAACTGAATGGAATCGTATCAATATGATCCTTCAAGAAAAAATCAAGGAATTAAAAAATGAAATATTCAAATTATATCCGAGTAACGTATTATGAAATGAAATTTTTCAATGAAATTCCGAATTTTGTTCAATGAGATATTGTTTTATGCGAATATGATTACTTTCTCAAAAACTACACTCTGTAAAACTACTTTCTGTGATTATATTGTCTAGCGGTACCCCAATGAATGAATATGAATGATATAATTAAAGTGCATAATTTTGATTCAGAATGTTCAAATAATATTTAATTGAAATATAATAGAATAAAATATCATCCATCAAATAAGATTATTAAATAAACAAAAGCATAATAAACAAGTACCTATCATCTACATAATAATAACAATAATTATTACAATATTCTAATGTTCATTCAATTTGATATATTGTAATACATTGCGAACCGTTGTCGATAACTAATTATTAAATTGGTCCGGGCAAATTAAATTAAATTCCATATTTCAAATCAAGTTGACTAATTGTTTGAGGGTATTTTAATAATCATTACATCATATTATACGGTGTGACCTAATAATAGTACTTGTATGTATTATATTACGTACGCATTATTACATACATTTTGAATTCTCAGCACGTCAATGGTGGTATATATTACATTATATAATTAAACAAATAAACGCGTTTCAAAAGTTACGAACTATTTATATAAAATAAAAACGTACAAAAGTATTATTCCAAAAGATTTTATCCGAATTCACCGTTGACACAGAACTGCGTACTGACCTCAAAAGTATTTTGATCTTTACATTTTTGTAATTTGTTCTTACACTCAAATTTAAACCTAAATGCCATAGTGTATATAATGCAACTTTTCTGCAATAAAATAATAGCGAAAATTGATAAAAAAAAACAAAAAACAAAATACAAATAGGTATTTTTATTATTTTCGCATTCAAAGTCCGAAATTCAAGTGTAACTGCCCATAAAAAAATTGAAATTTAAAAATCTGATAGCGTCGAGGCATAAATATTGTACCGTATTCGCAAAATGTGTGCACTAGTAAACCTTGTGTATATACAACCATAATATAACACAATAATATAATTTACTCTATTATACTTACACACGGAAACATCAAACTTTAGCGGTATTTTTGTTTATTTATTTTTTTTTGCTTGAATCAAAATATTTCGTTTATATAGTGTGTTTCAAATTTATTATTCAGAGTAATGTCGGGTTCACGTTGATAATGTATACGTGTTCTCTTGCATGTATAGCGGAATTCGTTCGGGTCTACAAAATATATACAGCGGAGTAAACGCTATTTTTCACGAAACAGGACGATTGGATGATCGCCTATGGGATATATAATACGTATAATACCGCCAGTCTGCTTTAAACAATTTCCTATATTATATTTTTTAATAGTTAAATCGAATTTATTGTCAGACGGATGCATACTGCAGTTGTAGTGATGTAATACGGTTCGAAAATTTAAACTTCTTATTGACCTTTGTTATATTATTATACCGACATACCGTACTATTGTTATACATTTTATAACAGTGGTTTTCAACCTTTTACGAATCACAATATCTTAATTTTTTTTCATGTAAAACAAACCCCTTCAAAAATTGTTGAATAGAACTTGAATTTTGCGCTATAAAGTATAGGTACATGCTGGTGTTTTGCGACTTCCCGAATTTCGTTCGTAACCGCTTTGTGGTCGCAACTCCTAGGTTGAAAACCACTGGTTTACTTATAGTTATTTCATACACGTCGTATTCGAATTTTTAGCCTTTACCGTGAGATTAGAGTATTCAAACCCATGGCGAAACGCTTATGAAATAATATAATTGTATCTATTACACATCATCGACAGATTTCGTTCGAATTTCAAACAGATCACAGAATTATTTGTACCTATTATTATTATTGTTCATTGATCATTATTAAGTATTAGGTCTACAGTTATTTATTAATTATATAATATAATATATGTTATGTCTACAAATTAATATTTTAAAATAATTCTCGACTTACCTTCTAGTTCTTGGCCGAGTTGAGAAGAAGTATCATCTGAAAGTTTAAAACTTTAAGCTATTTTCTTTTCGTTTAAACAAATAATTGTATATTATTATAATATAATATATTATACAAAAATAATAATATTATCCGTACGCTAGTAATAAGCTAGTACTCGAAAATAAGCGACAGAAAGCAGCTAGTGTAGGTATAAAAAAGACTATATACGTACACCTATAACATAATATGAATTATAATCAAAACAGTTATTGTATAAGTATAAAACGAATACAATTTTAAAAGCGATTCTAATGACGTTACGTAGGCAAGTAATCAAAGTGTGTAAATGTAATATCGCTTATATCGAATGTGATAGAGAAATAAAACACACTTTATTCGAATTTCGGGAATCTAAAATGCCATTTTAAAAGTGTATATATTTTATTTTTGTCATTTTAAACAGCCGGTATGGCATCGACACAAAAAAAAAAAAACATTTATAACTTTTATAAGGTTCTAAAACCCAAGTTATACTTTAACTATAAGGTATCTATAACGTCTATAACTTTTATAAAATCTCAAAAACTAATAAAATTTAGCCGAGCAAATTTTCATCGATATATCTATGAAGTTTTTAAGTTTCCAGCTAAAGTTTTTGTTTTTTTTTCAAGAGTGAGTGATTGGGGTTATTGTCGTAAATTCGGTCCTGCTGTCAAAGGAAAAACCCAACGTTTTCCGGAAAACCACGTGTTTGGAAAACGCGACGAAATCATCGCTACAAAATACTTCTGAAGTTTGTAAGTTTCTCTGTACGGTAAAATGTGGAAATACTCCGATAAGATGTTTGTTGATGAAATATCTGAATATCAAGCGAACAACTTATGAAATTATATACATATATACGAATTTATTTCGAAATTTAAAACCGTATATATTTGACACATTACGAGTATGTTGTAAATTTCGGTTGTAAAAATGATTAATAGTTAATACGCCATGAGCGCGAATAAAACGAATAATATATGACATTCCTGACGTTAATATTTCGTTCAAAATATAATTGTTAATATTTAACGAATCGAACGAAATGTTATATTAGATTAACTATATTAGGTATATGGTTGTGGTACCTAAACGGTATTATGTTATCGGCCGTTTAAAATAATATTACGGATATTTATTCGTATACTATATGGTCTTGTGGATCGAATACTATTGTTTGGTTAATAGTACCATAACAACAATAACAATATATTAAATCCATACAATCCAGATTGAGGTTAAGAGGACAACGCACGTCGTACATTTAAATTGTCTGCGTTTTACGTAAAACAAGTTCGCGTTGAACAGGGACGACTACGGTGCTAATAGTTTTATTATTGGAATGCGTTGACCATGTTATCAAACTAATAATACACGTGAAAACATTGTCTGTTTTTTGTGTTTTGTTCGTTAAATTATTGGTCGAGATAATGTTATAAGCATTTTTAAATAAAATTGTGATATTTCACACGTTCATAAATCGCTTGAAAATCAAAATAACGACAAAACACAAATAATGTTTAATTTATACTTTCTTATACTCGTACATTAAAATAGTTTGATAATGGACCAGTGCACTTTAATGTTAAAATTAACAGCGCGAATTCGTCCCTGCTGAACGTAAATAACGTACGTGTGTCCGTTCTCTTAAGTCGATTAAATTTTTTTTTTTTTTTTTTTAAACGTAATCACTCACACGAAGATGTTTTTTTACGGAAACTATAACGTTAACTGAAACAAACAATAATAATATCGTCTAAGATTACGCTATACAATACTCGCCAACTCTAGTCGTAATATTAAAATATGTAAAACATCGATTTAATTTTAAATGAATATTACGAAATTATATAAAAAAAAAAAAAAAATGTCGGATCGGACTATGTTTCAATTTCCATGATCCGAATAGTGATAATCGGTTCGTAACGATTCCAATCGCTTATTAATGATTTATTATAGTGTTTAACGTTATGTACGGAACAAACAACAAAATATAAATAAGCGTTATAACAATCAACTAAAACATTACGTTAGCTAAACTATATTATTATAATATTCGTCATTCATTATTATTATTATTAGGTATTTTTTACAGTCATGCGAACCGCAATACGATTGTTAAAATAATACAACGGTTCTGTCGGTATTTTTCTCCTCCCCCCCCCCACCCCACCCCACCCCACCATCGGTCTCGTCGCCGAAAAACGTGTTCGCAGTCAATGATCGTGAATTTCGACGAGACGTTTAGAAGAGTTCGGCGTTTTCCCGACGTTCTCCCCGTCCGTTCGAAAACAGGTCGACGAGATAATGTTTTGACGCGATTACCGGCATTGTTATTGGTATACGCGACACACGGCGGCGAGTCTGCCGTGCGGCCCGCGCGCCTTGCCGACCCGCCGGCCGGCAAATCCGTCCTCCCCGGCCCGTCCGTCCGTCCGTCCGTCCACCCCGGCCCGTTAAAGACCGAATTACAGTATTTCAACGACGGCGGCGATAATAACGATAATGATAATAATAGCAATGTTATTGCGAAACGGATGGGGGAGGAGGGGGTTGGTGGGGTGGCGTACGGTTCGCATGATCGGGGCCCTTCGCAGCAGCCGGGCTTTTACGCCGCGCCGCTGTTGCTCGCCGATGCCGCCGCTACCGGATAATCATAATTTATTGCAATACACATAATACGGTTCCGATCGCGTGTGTGCGCCCATCGAGTTTCGTACTGTAGCGTTTTGCACGAAATATACATACATAATTATATATACATATATATATGCATATATATTTATACATACATATGCATATATATATATATATTTATACATATGTTTATTTATACAGAGCGTAACACGAAAATCTGACGACCTTTGTTCCATTCGATATTTTCATTTCTTTATTTTTTTTTTTTTTTTTTTTTTTTTTTTTTTTAATAATTTATATGCCTCTGGCGTTACAGTTGAAACATCATTAAGATTTTTTTATGATTATTATTTTTTAGAGTGCTTTGAAAAAAAAAAAAAAAAAAAAAGGATTTTGCCTTGCAAACTAGGATTTTTCATCGAAAAACCTTTATTCGAAATAACCATTGTGTTATCTATATTTTGGCAAATGTTTACAAATTTTCGATACGTTTTGATGATATTAACTCGCGGATACAAATTCTTTATCATTTAGTACGCTCTGACTACTGATTAAATATTAGTTAATATATATATATATATAGACTATAGCCCCACAAAATATTCGTATTTTTAGTAAGTTTGAAAAAATCGTAAAAATTATGACCACACCTATAATAAACAAGCATACAAATTATAAACAACATGTTGATATTGAATAAAACAAAAGTTATTGCATGCGTCGGATCTTCGTGTATCTGTTTTATATTTTTTATACTTTTATACTTAGAAAAAAAAAAAGTTTTTACAAATTCCAAAATAGTAATTTTTTAAATATATTTTGAAACAAAACTTCGATGATAAAAATATTTACAAACGATGAACCGTAAGTTTTCTACGATATTTTAATGTTTTTATTGTCATTATTATATAATAATAACACCAATCGAATCGCCGATTTTTCTACAAGAAATAACCGTTGTTAATGATTTTTGTTAACTTAAAACAATCGTGGAAACTTAAGAACCCACCATTAGTAAATATTTGTAACACCAAATGCACGTTTATAAAACGGCTATCTTGGATTTCATAAAAAAAAAAAAAATACATATATTTAACAAGATATATTATCACAACAACAAAAAATAAAAACCTTGAATATTTTGAACGGATCTTCGCGTGTTACACCCTGTATATATGTATATATGTATATATATATATATATATATATATATATATTATTGTATACACGTTCCCTCTTTTATTTATAATATTTCATTCCGCTTCTCTCGCTGCGCATTTCCACTTCTCCGTAGTGGTGGAGGAGAAGCGGCGATAGGGGCGGCGGAATAGGGGTAGGCATCCTATTCGCGTGCCCGAATATAATGCGCGTGGCGTACACACCGCGACCCCCGCGCGTAACCGATACGCCGGAAGTGTGTTTTAAATCTTTTGCCCGTGAAAACGAGAACGACCGACGACGGCGACGCGACGGTGCCCGTGAATATCCGGCCCGTTTTCTACACGCGGAATATTACGGGTGGCACGATTTTAACAGAATGTTAATGTTTTAAACGAGTTTTATATTATCTCGTCGACAACCGCCGGATATGCGCGCGCTCTTGTACACGTATTTTATGAATACCTACGTAACGGAGAATGGTGTTTTTATTTTTTTATATAGTACTATACCGGCCATTAACTCGTATATCTGTATTACACGGGCATGTTGAATGCGGTGGGCTTTAAGTATTGTCCTCTCTGGCCTTAAAAATTTCAAATATAATTTTAATAACTCATTGGTGTTTGATTTAATAATAATAATAATAGTAATATACGATTAACGAAATGTCTATAAAATATGGAAATAAATTCGCTACACTCAGAATCTAAAAACGTTTTCTCTTTTAGAATCGACGTTTAAAGCGGATTTTTCCGTTTGGTATCCGAATCGTAGCTAGCGGATTGTCTGAAATCCGTATGTTAAAATGATCGCGCGTTATGGAAACATGATCTCGGATTATGACACCTTATTAATATATTGTATAGTGTTGGAAAAAAAAAAATAAAAAAAAATATGATTTCAGTTCCGAAAGTAGAAACAAGACACCCGGTCTCGACGGTTTCACTCGCGTCTCGTACGGTTTATCGGACTCGGCCGTGTGTCCGGAATACCTATATACTTCGGTAAAAATGATATTCTACGATAATTTATTACTTTGTTATAAAGCTCGGGGTCGGAATTCGAGCCCCGCTCTGTGTTTTATCGTCCCGCATAGCAGAGCACCCTATATTGAAGTGGCGTTTATTAGGATTTCGCCAAGGAGTGAGACATTGAATTTGGAAATTACTGTCATATACTGTATAACGTATACACGCAGAGACAAAAAATAAACGTTATCAATTCATATGTGTAAGACATATTTTTTTTATTAAAATCCGCTCTAAAATTATCATCGAAATCAAATAGGTATTATGGGCACCTCTATACGTTATATAGATGCAGTCTTATAGGTAAGTAATTATGTACTTTATTTATTATCGAGGTACGAATCTAACTTCTTCGATTCGAATAGGTTTCTTTTCGAACAATAAAATGTTTAAGACCGGGTTTTTTTTATTGATATATTAGCTATACCAAAGCTTAAATTGTCATTTTAGATTCTGAGTGGAGCGAAGAAGCTTATGGTTTTACAAAGATTTTTAAAGTTTAATTTTTTTTTTTTGTTCTATGGTCAACTTTTCTACCTGAGATCTTATTCCGATTTTTATATGTAGCAATTTTTCTAAAAGGAAATTTCACTGAGGAGGTAGAGGTACTTTAAATAGGTAGTTTTTCGATTTTCTCAAGAGTTTTCCCACCAAATGTGAAAAACCCGGGAAAAACGTAGGAAAACCGGAAAAATCGGTACAACATTAAATAAATATTATTAAATATAATATGCCTGTTTAATTATTTTAACATAATATGACATATATATTATTGACAATGCAGCACTACCAACTGAACTCTGTCCAGAATCGTTTTTTTCGTTAGCAATGGTTTAAACGAAATTACTTATAGCAGTGGCTGTACCTGACCTCTTTATCCTAGGACATTTTTTACTTACTGAAAACTAAAGAAATGTACTTGTTAATACGCCACGGGCCACTATAATATTATGTTGATAGGGGTAATCCGCACGTACGGTAAGCCAAGGTGGGCCTGAGAAATCATCGTTTCCGAAAACATTAAAAAAACCGTACGAATTCCGTATAAAAAATATTGCGTATTATACACCCGTGATAAAAATCGACAATATTGTTATCGTCTACTTGAATGCCCTCGCGTTTTTCTACAGATCGTGCAAAAGCGGACAATACAAAAGACGGACGACTGCACGTGATCGCGGTACAAAGTACAATAATAATAATAACCAACAGTTATTAAGCGCGGTGCAAATAAATAATAATAATATTAATAATAATAATAACAATAATAATAATAATAATAATAATAATAATAATAACAATAATAATAATAATAATAATAATAATTGAGCGAAAAATTAACGCAAATATGGCGAAAATTTACACCCGCGGACACACGTCGCGATTCAAGGCTGCCGCGGTAGCGGCGAGTAGGCCTTATACTCGCGCACAACCACGGTCGCGGTTATAAGAATAATAATAAATCGATAACCACGTGTTGTGTGCTTATGGTACGCATAGGCGACGGCGGCGGTGGCTGCGGTGAGTATAAGCGCGTATACATCGCTAACTAACTACGCGATAATATTATTACAATTTGTAATAATAATATTATATTATATTATATTATATTATGTAGCTACCGCCCAAGTACCTGCCAAACGTAGGGCCGACATCCTTTGGAACTCCGGTTCCTGGAGCCACTTCCACATTCTCCGGAACGTCTCCCGACCGGACTTCAGCTTGGACCACGGCTTGGGGTTGCGGAGCAGGTCGGACAGCGTGCCTTGCGACCGGCACAGCACGCGTTGCGCGAATATCGCCTGTGGTATGCTGTACCGTTTCAACTCGGCGCTGATCCTTTGCGCTAGCTCCTTGGTGTTGATCTCCTCCATGTCCGAACCGGGGCCGTTCGGCGTGGCCACGGTGACCGACGTGTTCTGCACCAGCACTGTCGTTTGGGTCTTGATCAACGTAGTGGTGGTTTGGTGCTGCTGCTGCTGCTGGTGCATCATCTGCATCCTCTGCGAATGGTCCGGCGGCGAGGGCGACGACGTGGTGATGACCACCTCTTGGGGCTGAATCGGATGGATGACCAAGGACGGCGAGTGCCGGGGCGACACAACCACTCCGCCGCCATTTCCTCTGTTGTTCGGGTGCGGCGTTATCGTCGTCAGCCCGTTAACGTTGGCCAGGGTCGCAGTGCCGCCCCCGAAGTTGGTTAATGGTGGCGATTGAAGCGAACCCGAGTTCTGGCTGCAGATGTCGGGGCTGTGGACGACTAACGGTCGGACGCCGGCCGACGACGGGCCCATTTGCGTGTACGGCGATTCGTAGCAGCTGTTGGGAGACGACATACTCTTGGGTGGCGAGTTGCCACCACCGCCACCGCCACCGCCGCCACCGCCGTTTTGGTTGTACGACGCGCTTTGTGGCGATATCGGCGAGCCTTGTTGGGTAGGCATGTGGTGCATGTGCTGCTGCTGCTGCTGCTGCTGCTGCTGCTGTTGCTGTTGCTGCTGCTGTTGCTGTTGCTGCTGCGCCGGTGGCGGCGAATAATGGTTAGGTGAGTGCATGCCCAATTTTTCATACGTGTACGGGCTGTTTACCACCATGCCCATGCTACCGATGTTGTTCTGCATGACGGTGAACGTGCCGGGCACACTGTTTGAGTGACCGTACACGAACTTGTCAGACATGGTCGATATGGGAGGCAGCGGTTGCAGTGGCGTGAGAGTGGCGTACGACGAGTTTGGACTGTAACCGGGTGGTGACATCCGACCGTTAACCGAGGTGAGAGTCTGGTAGGTGGGCTCGGACTGATGTTGCTGGTTGTGGTGCAGCTGGAGAACGCTGTTACTCCGATGGTAATCCTGCGATTCGATCATACCGGCTACGCTGACGGAATGTCTGGGGTTGAGTCGGGCTAACCGAGCCCGTTCCTCGTCCGGGTGGTGTACGATCACGGTAATGGTACTTTCGGGTGGTTTAACGTCTTCGACTATAACGCCACCGCTGTTACTGCTGCCACTTGGCCCAGCACCACTGCCACTGGCACCACTGGTACTGGCACCGCTGCAGCCTCCCCTGACCACAACGGTGCCTCCTACGCCACGACGGTTTCCGCCTCCGTTGCTCTCCACAGGCGATCGGTCGGCGGCGTTCTGGTTACCAAGTTGCTGTTGTTGGTGGTGGTGATGGTTGTGGTGATGGTGATGCTGCTGCTGTTGCTGCTGCTGGTGTGGGTGAGGGTGGTGGTGATGGTGATGATGAGGTTGATGGTGATGATTTTGATGGTGGTGGTGGTGTTGTTGTTGTTGTTGTTGCTGGTGTGACTGCTGCTGGTGACCCACACGATGGCGGTGGTCTTGGTGCTGCAGGTCTTCTTCGTCGTCCAAATCGTCCATCTCTTCTTCCGAATCGTCTCCGTCATGGTGCTGGAGGGTCCGCGGACAACGTGAATGGCAAACGATCCGGCTGGTGGTCGGCTGCTGCTGCTGCTGCTGTTGCTGCTGCTGCTGCTGCTGTTGCTGCTGCTGCTGCTGCTGTTGCTGCTGCTGCTGCTGTTGCTGCTGCTGCTGCTGCTGTTGCTGCTGCTGCTGTTGCTGCTGCTGCTGCGACCGGGGAACTCTCGTAATGCACAACTCACGTGTCGGCGGCGGTTCGGGGACAGGACACACGGCCGGTCGACTGGGGTCGACGGAGTTCGCCTGTGCTTCTTGCGACGAATCGTCCACTGACGACTCGATGACAACTTCGTTTAGGGGTGACTCCGGTCCCATGTTGTGAACGTTGTCCATTCTGTGTCCTCTGCTGCTGCACGCACGGGGTGCTACACCACGGTCCGCCGGTGCCGGAGGTACGACAGCACTGACGCCGGAAACATTTTTCGCGCGCGACTAGTCCTCTACGCCGCGGCGTGCGTGCGGCGCGGTGGTATACGGTTACGCGGCGCGCGTCTGGTGCGCTGCGGTGGCGACGATGTCGGTTCGGTGTCGCGGTGCACGCGCCTTACCGTCGTCGCGGTCGTCGTCGGTGTGCGGATTGCGCGCGAAATCGGCGACGGCGTACCACCGACACTACTACTGGTGCTGCTGTTGGTGCTGCTGCCGGTGCTACAAATCGTCGGGCTCCTACTATTGGACGATAATATCCATTGACGAAATGCATTAAGATGAATACCGATCGATATGGGCGCGGGAAAACACACGATCCCGTCAGATTCGATACAATAGTAATTATTGTCGTTAACGATTCCGCCGCGGTATTGACGGTACGGGTCGGGCGCCACGACTGGCCGACGTCGGCGGTAATGTCGTCCTCGGCGTCGGAGGTGGGTGCATGCTATCGTCTCGGCGCGACGCTCGTTCGCCTCCTCGTCACCGTCGCCCGCGACCGAGTCCACGTCGTCGTGCAGTACAAATAAATACAACTATCGGTAACAACAATTACAACGACTACAATTACATATAGCAACAACAACAACAACAACAATATCGAACGTCGTTAGTCGACCGCGAGTTTCCGAAAAGGTTGCGCGCGCGATAGATTTATTTTTCGTACCTACTCGTGCGGACGTTTCGATTATTTGATGTTGTTATTATTATTATTACTGTTATGATTATTTTTATCGTCGGCGACCATACACATCACACCCACACACGATCGATTTCGTTCGCGGATAGGGTCGTTTTACGCGCGTTATTTCATTTTCTTTTTTTATTATTGTTATTTTTTTTTTTTTTTCCGGGGGCTTTTTTCCCCTACTATAAGCGTGCGGTTTTTCCCCCTTTTCCGCGCGCGCGTACGTAGCGCGCCCCGCGGCTTGGGCGCGCACCGAACGAAATATTGATCCGTTTCAGCGGGTAATTGAGCCGACGAAAAACCAAGCCTTTTGCGGCGGGGCGACGGAGGGGTGAGTCACCCTGCCGTCGGTCGTCGCGGTCGCCAACAATAGCGTGCGGCGCACGCGCGCGTTTACCGCTCTGCTCGCGTGATGTGTGTCGCGGTGCGTGAATGCCGTACACGCAATCGGCGGCCGGCGGCGTTGACTGTGACGGCGACGGCGGCGGCGGGCACGCCACGCGTTCGACGTGGCGGCGGCGAGTGGAACACCCTCGTGCGCGCAGCTGGACAAGGGGCGAATGTCCTTTACGATATTATCATATGTATAAATGTATTTATTTTTTTTTTTTTTTTTCTTATTACTGTACGCGTGTGTATATAAAATCGTCCGCCGTCCCCCGAGTCGCACGCACCCACGCGCGAGTACTATAATGTATACGCGGTATACGCCGCGAAAAGCGTACGCGCGGCGGTGGCGATATTTGTACTTTGTAAAATCGAAGTCGACGGGCCGATAATATTAACGGGCGCCGGGCCACTATAATATACGCGGTGGCGTTGGCCGTGCGTGCGCGCCCGCGGGCCCTCGCGCCTGCGCCCGCCGGCCGGTCGTATCGATTTTTCGATTTTACATAATACGCGCGGACGGACGCTCGCGTGCGGACGACCGTCAACCGCGGACGACGACGCCGTGCATAATGTATTGTGACAACACCAAATAAATACAATAATAATACATAAAGACACCTGCAGAAAAAGGCAAATTCGTGTTACGTGTGCCTGCCTCCCCACGCCCTAACACCCCCCCCATCACGACCCGTATGATATCGTATGGATCACATTGATCGTCGAATAATTTTCAAACTCGCGCGGCGGCGGCGGCGGTGGCGCGTGGCGACGTTATCCGATAATCTATACGGGTCAGGTGCGGTGCAATAATAAACGATACGATTTTTTTTCGTTCGAAAACCTACCGTAAATTTTGAAAATCGATTGATGTTTTTTTTTTTTTTTTTTTTATTACATTATTAATATAAAAAATACGGCTGTATACTTCGCACGATGGGTGGGCTAGTGTTATCGGTGAAATATTGGGAAGGTAAGATAATAAAGGGGAATTTAATTTACCTCTGTATACGTAACGATATACCGTCGCCGAGGAAAAACGATTCGGCGTGAAGTTTCTTTTATTTAGTACATTTTTCCGTTTTTTTGCCAATTATTATGAAAATCGCTTAGAATATCATACTTCCTTAAGAGGACGTTATAACCCACGTTTACTGCCTCAGTCCAACATACCGGGTAACATGCAAAAACAACGCTTACACATTATAAGTAATACTTGCATAATTTTGATTTTAGAGTAAAAGTACATATTATAAAATGTATAGAGAACAATATTTTAAATGGAATTTCATAGGTGTTTTTCGAATCTAAACTATTAAAAAAGTTACAGCTATTTAAAAACAAAACAAACAAACGGTTCTTGCATCTTTTATATTTAGCTATATATTTTGAATAATACAAAAACCCTATGACATTCCCTCCAAAATAATTTTATAATAGGTAATTTTATTAAAATATCAAAAATAAGTTAGTTTTACTTATTCTGCGCATGCATTATTTTTGCATGTTACGCGGTAGTTGAACTTAGACAATAGACGCGGGTATTACGTCCTATTAAATACCTTCCAGATAAAAAGTCCTTTCAGAAAAGATACTACACCTGGAAATCGGAGTGAGATTTCTGGTAGAAAAAGTTGTTCACAGATAAAAAAAAAATAAACATCATTGTAAAACTAATACAATTCTCGCTACGCTCCGAATCTAAAACTATTAGTCACGTTACGAATCGTGATTTTCAAGATCGAACCGAACTTTTCTTTAAATTTACGAACCCGAACCGAACTTACCGAACTATTCATGTATTTTATCAAATCGGAACCAAACCTGAAAAAAATAAATAGGTTTTTCAAAATATGGATAATCAAGAGGTCCCGACGGCATAAATTGGGTCCCGGCGTATTTTATCGAGTACTCGAGTTGAGTCCTGTCATATTTTAACGAATATATACGAATTGGATCTCGGTGTATTTATTCTATTATAATTTATATTTAAACCATTGGTCCAGCCTATTTGGATTGCCCAAGAGACACCACGTAGAGCTTGGTTAGAAGGTCTACCTCAAAATTTTATTTTTGTTACATTTTTACTACTATATAATTATTATTAATTAATTATAATTCAAATTAACATTAAAAAACATTTTTTTTTTTTTTTTGTTTAAATATTTGCAATGTGTTTTAGAGAAAATGTAAAAGAAATGTTTTTAAAGATAACTGTTCCAATTCTCTACTGGTAAAAAAAAAGTCTTCTCTTTTGAAATGTGTACCTTCTTCTTCAGCTTTTCTTTGCTGTGTTGTTGAGCTCCAAATTGATAAGTAAATTTTACTCTAAATTTATTCTAAGTGTCTAATAAAACAAAAATGTTGAGATGAGCTGCACTGAAATTCGTATTAAAATATTACTGTTGTTATCGGTAAAATATTACTGTGGACACAATTATTCAAATAGATACTTATTTAAGCAATAAGATATTCAGGGACTCAACTCCAGTATTCCCTAAAATGTAAATCGTCCTATCAATCAAAAAGATATGCAACACCGTAAACATAATTCTGTGATAACATAGTTTACAAAGGTATATTTATGCTTATTTTTTATTATTATTATTTTTTTTTTATTGTAGTTTTCTTAAAAATTAGAAAACATGTAGGAAATACGTGAACATTTAGGCAATATTGACTCCGTTTTTTTCAATTTCGTTTTTTGTTGTAAATACCTAATCGTAGAATCCTGAAATTTTTAGAGTATACGTGTGCTAAATGCCAGCAAATGTGAAAAACCGGGAAAAATGTAAAAACCGGAAAACCGGTACATTACCATATACAAATATTATTAAAACAAATATACAATGCCTATTTAATTTTTTACTATAATATGACATATATATATTGTTGTTAAAGCATCACTATTAACTGAACTCCGCTCAAAATCATTTTTTCAATGGTTTATCATTGCTTACAGGTATACATTAAATTACCTATAACAGTGGCTGCAACCATCCCCATTATCCTAGGACGTCTTTTTATATTTAAATATTAGAGTATATACATGAAGTTAGTGTAGGGAAGAACAATTTAGAATATTTAAAGTGTTATATAAAGTGACTGTAGAGTGAAGTCTTGGCTTATTGAGTAGGTAGGTATTTTATTAATGAATTTAGGGCTGTTTCTAATTTAATAGTATGAGATTTGTAGGCAGCTCTTCAGAAGTGAATACCATAAGTAACAATAGATTGAACTAAAGCTTTATATTAATTTTATTTTTGTCACACAAAATATTTTTAAGAGTTTTAAAAATGTAAAAGAATTTTCTCTAGTGATTTACTAATTTATTAATGAGAAAATTTAATTTTAGATGATCGTCGTAATAAAGATTTAAGTATCTAACGGAGTTTGATTTATTCATGGAAGAACAAGTACAGCTATTAGCATCCTGACTGCATAAGTGGTTATGCAATAAAAATTGATACAATTATTTTGTATTTTAAAATGGAAAAAAGTAGATTTATCATAATTGATTTGGAGTGAATTATTGTTTAACCAAGATTTGTTTTCTATAAGGCTAGCATTTATTTTATTTACAACATCGATTATATTATTACTGCTAAATAAGATAGCTATGTCATCAGTAAAACATAAAATTCCACCTTTAATATTTTGGTTCAGTAGACCGTTTGTATAGGTATTAAAAAGAATAGGACCTAAAACAATAATAGTAATAATAGTAATACATTAGGTACTAAATTCATTATTGATTTAACTTTTTGATATCTGTTCATGGTGTATGATTTAACGAATTTTATACAACCCCTCTTATTCCACAGTATTTAAGCTTCTTAAATAAAATATTGTGATCAACAGAATAGAAAGCCTTTTTTAAACCTAAAAAATCACCGATAACATGTGTAAATTCCTGAATCACTACTATACAGTGGTCTATAAATATTTCTTAGTATTTTCTCTCCTATAGAGCGAGACTTCTATTATGCTCTTTTGTCGTAAACCAAATCTTACAAATATAGGTTTTTATTGATTTAAGATAGCTAATTTAAAAAGGATTTTTTAATTTTCTCGATAGATATTTCGAGCTAACATTTGTTTACGCTGAAGTAACATTTATTTTCATTTGATATCCTTTTATTTATTTCTTTATGTGTGTTATTATTGTTATTTATATTAATACCGTAAAATAATATTACTATACAAATTAAATAAGTACAAATTTAATGTGTACATATTATAAATTTGAATATCAGCATAACGTAAGACACTCATTATCTTGGAAAAAATTAACTTTTCTTGGAATTCGATTTCAGAACATTTAAGCAATTAGTAGTTAGCTCTAAAATCTTTTTTTTTTTTGTCACCCTTATTTAAAATGTTGAAACCACTACCTACTTTTGATTTTCAACTAGAAACCTAAATTAAAATGTCCATAAACAGACAGAGTATTAGTATAAATCAGTTTTGGCGTTGAAATTGTTAATTTCCGTCTACCAGTTGATGAGATATTCTACTTTTTAGTTTCGATAGAAGGATAGTAGTAATTTTAGCGTTTTAATAGGGTTCAACCTTTGAAAATTAAAAGAAGATAATGGTTTCAAACTAAAAATAAGAACGAAAAAATGTAATGTAATATTGTAGAGTTACTAATTTCTTAATTATTCTAAAAAACAAATTCCAAAAAAATTTATTACTTTCTGAGATAATAACGTTGATCACTCTGTATGTAAAAAACAAATAATTATGTACTTTAACAAAAACTCATAGGAGTATTACTGGCTGTTTTTATTTTCCTTAAGAATTGTTAATTAATTGTTGAATTTTGTTTTTGAAAGTTTACCACGTGCAGAGAGAAGCCTAAACCATGTTAGGTTAAGTTCAATTATTGTCAAGTCTGTTAGTTTGTTTTAATACTCATAGCCTTTTTCTCTTATTATTCCAATTCGAACAACATAATATAGTATTCGACATCTGTTTTAAAAAAAACTGACTGATGAACCAACGCACTAAATCAGCGGTTCCCAAACTTTCTCAGCCTCGGAGCCTTTTTTAAAAAAAAAGTTTCTCGTGGAGCCCCCATGAAATATTTAACGTTAATTTTTATCTGCCTGTGTTTTATCTTCTATAAAGTATAATAAACACGAATTGTATATATACAAGAGTCAAAATAAAATTATATTTTTGAATACAGGTGAAACAATAGCAATAAAAGAACTGCAAAAAATATTATTTATTATTTAAATTTAAATTTACAAAATGTCTTAATGTGAGCATTTAGTCTGCTTTTTACTACTGAGTTTGTCGATGTCTGTGTACCTCGAAAAAGCCGTTTCACAAAGATACGTAGTACCAAAAGGCAGTAAAAGCAGTTTAGCTTTTAAACTTAATATTAAATGATCTTCCCCTAATTGAGCCCAAAGTTCAGATATTGGTTTGCTTTTAAATAATGTCTGATAGCAGCTATCCGAAACCATATCAATAAGAACCTCAGGTTGCTAACTTTGTTACATATCACACACTGAGGACGTCCATCAGCAAATTCAGTGAATCCCATATCTAAATATGACACAATATTTTCGTTTTTTGCTTTCTTTCCGAATATCTACATCAGGTATCGTAGATTCTAAAGTAGAACTATGTACAACATGTTCCGAATGTATTCTAAGGAATTATTTTTACTACAATTATTGTTATCTTTCTTCGACTGAGCAATAGTTGTTGGCTGACTCTTTTCAGGTCTTATGAAGCCCGTTTTAAACCACCGTTCCATTTCAGTAAAAATATCTGGGTCGTTCGTACATACGCGCAATAAATAGATAAAAAAATAAAATAATTGAATCAAACAAAATACAAACACGTCCGTCGTTTGTAAATACGCACAATTAACTGATAAAAAGAATAATGTAATTTGAGAATCGAACCTAAATTAAATGGTGAAACGTGGTAAACAAAATAATGCATATTCTATAAATATTTCTATAACATAATAAACAACAGACCGAGTCCTCGGGGTCGTTCCAATTTATCATCGTTTCGTATTATCTAAAATTCTAAAATTAGATAATTGTATACAATTTTCTTATCGGTATTTTACGCAGTATACATATCGGTAAATTATGGCATCCAAGTCTTCATGTGAAATGTTTATTCATTTTAAAATAACGAACAATTTTTAAATTTTTTGTGGTGTTACGAACGGAGCCCTTGGTAAGCGATTTCGGAGCACCAAAGGCTCCGCGGAGCACCGGTTGGGAACCGCTGTACTAAATAAACCGTTGATGTTAGAAACTTGACATTTTGAGAGTAAATATATATTTTACCTTCGGAATCCACTAAGGATTTTTGAAAATTCCACTTCTAAAGAAGCGAAACAGGGTTTGTAAATTTGAATCAAAATCCATCATTTTAAAAGTTATCAATTAAAAAGAGTACTTACTTAGTGGAAGTGCTTCTTTCAAAAGATAAATTACCGAACAACTACCGCATCTGCGATAAGGATAAGGATGGAAATGAGGACGCGCGATAAATCGAATTATTTTTGATGGTGAAAAGATTGAACTCAGGAGAAACTGGTAATTTAGCTGGTGATTATACTATAATATTTATATTGTACGCGACTTCGTCCATGAGTAGTTTTATATCGAAAAACATAATTATAAAAAAAAGAGGTGATACTGCTGATGGATACACCACTGTTGTAGGTGGATAGTTAGGAAAGTAGAATCCATAAGGTTATTTAATTTATATCTATAAGGAGAGTAAAACCATAGCTAACGAAAATAGATTCGGAACAGGGTTCATTTACACCTGATTTGAAAGGCCGTAATATTTACAATTTTCGTCAATATTTGATATAAAAATTCTTATAAAAAAAAATTTTACATTACACTTCACTTTTTTTGAACGCAAAATACGACTTATTATCAACCTTCTGTTCAATTTTTCCAAACATTTCTGTTTGGTTTAACTATTTTATTTGCACAAAATCTAACAAATAAAAATTACGTAAAGAATTCGGAAAATTAAAGTGTCTATATATAGCTTACATTTTTTGAAATACAAATTCCTTTATTGGTTTATTGATTGATTTCTATCTAAATTGTATGTATATACGGACATTTTAACTGAATCACAACAAAAAGCCAAATTGAAAATAATACATTTCATATATTTTCCCATTTTCCTACGTTTTTTACCAACATTTCTTTCTCAGTGACATCCTTAAAATACCACCAAGATAAAATTTCCTTTCAATAAAGGTACTATTTTTGATATATTAAAGCTAGATTTTTCTGGTGGAAAAAAAACACACATCATTATTAAACCAATATATTCCTCGCTTCACTCAGAATCTAAAATTTAAAATAATAAAATTATTATTTTCTTATACTTTTTCGTACTTCTACGTATTTTTCGGCTTTTCTCAAATATTCAAAAACTACAAATAAAATAAAAAACACGATTTTCTTATTCACGAACTAGATTAAAAATACAAAAAAAAAAGGTATTTTGTCATTTTTCGATTGGAGCAATATTTCTAGTTGAAAATATAAGTTGTATAAATTAAAAACAATGAAATTAATAATGCCAAAGCGTGCTGTAAATTTTTGTCGTTTTACCTATAATTTTATTTTGCGTTTTTCCCAATTATTTTCAAAAATCCCTTATAAAATCAAAAACTGATCTCCTCAACGCACCAACCACATAAAATTTTCTTTAAGAAAAAAGGCTACTCTTGATACATCGGGAAAAGTTTTCTGTTCGAAAATGTGTTTACTGATAAATTCTCCACTCCGCTCAGAGTCTGAAAATTCAAAATATTATTTATTTTTTTTTTGGAATATAAAAATATTGAGTTTGATATAACATAGTTACATAGATAGTTATAGAATCATTCATAATGCCAAAAATCATGCGCATCATAGTCTTCATGCATAGAAACCACATTACCACACACATACAAACGATACATACATACACATACACACATCAATATTAACTTTTTTTTTCCGATCTGTGTCACTAAGGTAACCCGGAAATAAACAAAACGGAAACATGATGAATCATACGTAGACATCACAACATATTTTTTCAATTTTCGAATCAGGCTTGTAGTCCGTCACACTTATTGAATTCTGCGATAAAAAGTGGCCGCGAACCATGTTGGGAAATCGCAGATTACATACCAGTTAAAACCGTTTCCAAATCTGTGCAGCGGTTCTCGAGACTACAAGCACATTTCACATTTATATAATATTATAGATTATTTATATTATTATATATTCCGACTGTTCAAAGTTTTGCCGGTTACCCTGCACGACGTCGGACTCGTATGACGACGTGCGTTTGCGACGACCGGGTTCGCGTTTTCGAAAAATATCATCTTCCCACGAGGGCATCGCCCCCTTCGTCCCTTATTATGTTTTCTATAATAGACACCCTCTCGCGAGAACCGTCCCCTCGCTGCCGTCACGCCTGTTTTCCCCTTTATATATAATATTATATACATATAAATGTATATATACATACATGTATATGTATGTACAAGACCCCGTCCCTTTCGCGAATAACCGCAGATTGTGCCGCGATGACGAACCTGTCGCCCGGAAGGGCAGCTGTGTACATACAGAGTGATGCTTTTATCGCGTATCGTCATGCGATTATATCGGTACGTCTATTATATCATAATTGTATGTAGAAAGATTTCCGCGAGTAAATACTAAATTTGATTTTGGTTTTTTTTTTCAACGATTCGTAGCCATTATTTATATAATTTAAAAAAAAACAAGGTTCGGAAATTGACATAATGTAATATTATGTATTACGTTATGTCGAATAGTTAATATTATTGTTATGTACGCATACTTACAGGCAGAGTTGGGCAATATTCAAATAAAATTTTATTTAAATAATTTTAAAATTGATTATTCGAATAATTTTCAAACATAATATTGAGTTCGATATGAAAATACCGCATTCTCCGTAATAATCTTAAATCTAAAAATCTATATAATGCGATCGAATCGCACGGATGATATTTAACTACCTTAATATCGGTCTATCAGTAACTAAAATAAAATAGACTATTTTTAAACTACCAACCAATGTTTAAACAAATAAAATAAACGAAAATTAATCGGGTTATACGTTAGACAATTATTCGAATTAAATTCAAATAATTGTCTAAAAAAAAACTGATTATAGTTTTGAAATTATTTGAATGAATTTTGATTAGAATGATTAATTTTAAAATTAATTGTACAGATAATTGTAAAAATAATTCAGATAGTAATTGTAAACAAACCATTCAAATAATTTCTCATTCGAATAATTATTTAGAAAAAATTTTGTCCACCATTGCATACAAGTTATTCGGAACAGTATTAGTTTGCTGTTACCAAAAACCACGGTTGTTTGTAGTATATTAAATATTTTTAATACAAATAATACTCATTCGCCGAAAAATGCATTCAATGCAATTAATAATATAATATTTTTTTGTCGAAAAAGTTTCTCCGAATTGTTTTACGCTGAACTCTATACAGAACCGTAAAAAAATTTCATTATAAAATTCGTTTTTTACTAATTTTTAGGCGTATACACTTATAAATTGATGTAAAAAAAGACGGACAAACTTCACATGTGAGTGGACTACTGTTGTAGGTGAAATGTTGAGAAGGTAGAAGGTAAATTTAATGTATATGTTTACCATTGCTAACAAAAAACGATTCTAAGCAGAGTTCGGTTAATAGTGTTGATTTGTCAACAATATATATAAGTCGCAATGTGGTAAAATAATTAAATATGTATTATATATTTTCTTTAATAGTATTTGATTCATATTCTATCTATTTTTCCGCTTTTCCGCTTTTTTTCCGATTTTTCCCATTCGTTGAGAAAACTCTTCGAAAAATCGATAGAAGTACCCCCCCAGTCAGATTTTCTTTCAGAGAAAATTCTATTATTGTAAATCGGAGTAAAATCGCTAGTAGAAAATTTGTCCACAGAAAAAATAAAAGTATAATAAACATCATTGTAAAACCATTCCTCGCTCTATTCAGAATCTAAAATATCACCGATGAACGAACTAGGTATTAGAAAAGTTATAATCGGTGGAAAATATAAAACACGCAAGAGAGGAAAAAATCCAATTAAAAAAAAAAAAAAATCATCGTTATATTTCGAAAACAAATACACACCGTGTAGGTGCAATTGTGTATTTATACAAAAATAAAATAATTAAAAAAAGAGGTATATTTTTTACTTTCACAAATATGTTTAGTCGTATGTATATATATATATACATATTTAATATATCACCCTAAAATAAATATAATACTGTTGCATTGAGTACAAGAAATAACACATAGTGACGTATATCTGGAAAGAGGGATAGTAACGCAGTGATATTTTCAACTCGTTAAAACTTCGATTTTTTATACATAGATGTATAGTTATAGTTTCGTAGCGAGGAATTTAACTTTTTGCCCCTCCTCACGAAAACGTTTCCAAAGTACGATAGTACGATATACTGAAATAAAATTATGTATAAATACGAGATTTGAAGTTCAGCTCTAACTCAAATTTGACCCAAAAACTATAATTGTTTTAATTATCATCTGGTAATATTTTCGGACCATTTTCGAGGTGTGAGTTTAACTCACCAAATGGAAAAAAAATTTTCGCTAGGCTCGTTTGAGAACTAAATACCGAGAATATTTTCAATTTTTTGAGTGTGCAGAGAATGGTTTAGACATATTATACTGAGGAGACCAGTATCAGCGTACCTAAATGTGGTAGTTGCGTGGATACCAATTAGGTAGACCAGGATGTATATATATTTATAAATCCGGTTGGAGGTTAAGTTTTTGT